TTGAAGGCTGCTATCAAATCCCCCCTCACTCTTCTCTTCTGCACACTAAATAACTCCAGTTCCCTCAGCCTCTCCTCGTAAGTCATGTGCCCCAGGCCCCTAATCATTTCCATTGCCCTCCACTGGACTCTCTCCAATTTGTCCACATCCCTTCTGTAGTGGGGGCCCCAAAACTGGACACAGTACTCCAGATGAGGCCTCACCAGTGCCGAATAGAGGGGAATAATCATTTCCCTCGATCTGCTGGCAATGCTCCTACTAATGCAGCCCAATATGCTGTTAGCCTTCTTGGCAACAAGGGCACACTGCTGACTCATATCCAGCTTCTCGTCCACTGTCCATTCTGCGTCAGCAGCACCATTTTGCTGCGTTTCTAGGAGGGGAGTGAAGAATACTTTGGTTGTTATTTATGGGTATTACGGTAGTGCCCGGGAGCCCTAGTTATGAAGCAGGACCCCATTGTGCTAGGTGCTCTACAGACCCAGAACAAGACGGTCCCTGCCCCAAGGAGCTGACAGTCTGAGTATAAGACAAGAGATGGATAAGATGGGGGCGCACAAGGAGACAATATTGATCAATGATGGAAGGAATTTGTGAAGGCAAAATGTAAATACTTGAGCTGGAATTGAACCAGCCGCTGGGGCTAAATGTGCTGCTTCTCTACTTGGAGGTGCTATCTTAGGAACCTTCTTGCATAGAATAATCCTGCCTAGGCGTGCAAATGTACAGCTCAGTTTTGCTAAAGGTTTAGATTAGCCGATGTTCAGTGCAAGGCACTATGGGAGCAGGGGCAGAACGCTGCAGATGCAGCCCTTTGCCGCCTCAAATGCTCATTGAACTGGCCTAGTTTGATGCCAGCTCCCGTGTGAAAGGAGATATGCTTCTTTATGCACTGCTGTTCCCTTAGTTACTCTTCTCACTCGGGTATCAGTAAGCTAGACCCATGCAGCAAGCTGTGCCGCCATATGTGCCAGACGCTCGCTCACATCGTAAAGAGAATAATCGCTGCCAGAGGAAAACAATGTTGAGAGCCAATTAGATATGCACAGGGAGTTTTCTACCTATATTTGATAAATATACGTCCATTTTCTTTAACGTCCCTGTTAGGCGACACCTGCGAGAGTTTCTTACACTGTTGTTTTATGGCATTTGTTCAGTCATTGCACGGACATCCCTTCAGCGTTATGGCACTGACATTTGCAGCACATCTTGGCCTTGCATTGAGGCTCCAAGCCTGAGTCCATCTGCTATTGTTTTTTAATTTGTTTGCAGATAATTAGGCTGACAAATCCAGCCAAGTTCTGAAACACAAGAGTGCTAACAGAGGGAAAGGCGCTCTCTGCTTGCTTAGCATTTGGTACGTTCCCATGCACCATTTGTTTGTCTTGCTGTAATCAAGCCTTATGCTTTATCTTGTTCTCTCCAGAAGAGTGATAGGCAAAACTCAATGAACTGGCCAGCCTAGGGCCTTTGCCTTTCTGATCATCACTGCACCAGCATTGCAAGGCCTTGTCCACACACACAAATTGTGGTGCTTTAACTGTACTGGTATAGTTAAGTGGTACACACATCCCCATCCCCCAGTGTGGATGTAGCTATTCTGGTATAAAGGTACTTATACCAGTATAGTTTATTCCTGTAAGGGAAGGGAGAAAAATTATACTGCGGTAAGGCATCTTTATATGGGTATATCTGCATCCACACAAGAGCTTGTAGCAATTAATTATTTGGGTTAACTACTGAAATAGTTAAATTGGTACAAAAACTGAGTGTAGACCAGGCCTAAGGTCTACCTCCAATTTCTGGGAATGATCTCCCTTCCCCCACAGACTCTGTTTTCAACGCTGACCTCTTTGTCCATTTTAAAGCCATCACCCCACCCCACGTGGCCACACAGGATTCCATGATTTTTGCCTGCAGTTGAACCTGGTCAGCTTGTGTCTAGAACTGTGCGTAGCAGAGTCCAGTGTTGATTGTCATGCTCATGACCATGAGTGCCTGCCTCAGGACAGACTGTCAGAAGCAGGGCGGACACCTCAAACTGCTGGTGTGTTTTATAATTAGATTTCACCGCGACAGTACCAAATGTGAACTCCTAGATCACTAAAACAGTGTTACCATGTAGTCACTGGCAGTCTCCAGTCTATCTGGCCACCCCGACAAATTGGACTCCGTGATACATGGTCACTTATACCAAACATCACAAATATTCCAGGTTACTCCCAGTCCCAAGAGACCAGTCACTCACCCAGGTAGAGCCATATTCTAGATCTCCCACCAAAGACGATGCTGGCAGCCAATTTTATAGAAAACTAACTATAGGTTTATTAGCTAAGAAAAAGAAATGAGTTATTGAGAGGTAAAATAGATATACAGGTGAGTCACAGTCTATAATTCCAAATGCTGGCAAAGATGTAATAAATTGCCTGTTTCCAAAAGTCTTTTCAGGGTACCCAAATTGTCTCTGCTTTGCATCCGGTACCCACCTCTGTAAGAGTCCAAACAGGATCTTCCCCTGAATCCTGCTTTTATATTTTCTTCTCCGAGAAAACAAGCTGACAGGGTCACCATCCAGGTGGGCTCTTTCTTTGATTGGTGGCCAGAGAGGAGTCTTAGATTTCTGGCCATCACACACAGTGATCGTTTGCCTTCAAATTCTGAGAAAGGTGGATCCTGCTAAAGTTCTTCATCTGCATTACACAAGTCGTCTTTCTCATTTGATCAGTTATTTAGTTACAGAGGTATACAAAATGGAAATGTTTGCCATTACATTAGAACAGGATACAGATAAGTGAGATCAATGCATGTAACATCCCATTAATTTTCATGAAGTTTAAACACCAAGTACATTCTATGCAATTCATAACCACTTTAATCTATACTAATACACAAGTGAATTGGCCTGGGGCTTTGGCATGAGCTGGCACCTGGTCTGCCAGCATCACAGTGGCCACACAGTATTTCATGAGTTTTGCCCGCAATTAAAGCTGGTCGGCTTGTGTCTAGAGTTTTGCACTAGTCAGTATCACGTCCCTTCTTTTCTGAGAGGGACATAAGAAGTTTAAATAAAAGAGCGTCCCGTTCTAGAGGAGGTTAGTGGAGAATGAACACATGCACGCTTCTCCTGCCCTCAGAGCTAAAAATCCCCAAAGCAGGAACCTTATTTACATAGCTCATCTGTTCTTTCACTTGGGTCTAGCCTTCGTTTTGCTGAGCTTAGCCTTGCTTGCTGTTGTACAGAGCACGCAGTCCGAAAGAGCACAGCTAGCAATACCTCAACACGCAACGGGCGGGTGAAAGACCGAGGGGAGGGCAGGGCAGCCGAGAGCGGAATAAGGACCTTTCATTTTCAGACCTAGCGTTTCTTTGCATTTATGTCAGGCTCTGTCAGCCTCAATGAATTCTTATACACCCACCTCCGCTCAGGTTGGAAACTCCTTTTTACACATTGGCAAAGGGAGGCACTTGCCCGGTGAAAGTCAAGTGAGGATAAATAACCATTGGAATAACTTACCAAGGGTTGTGGTGGATTCTCCATCACTGGCGATTTTTAAGCCCAGTTGGGCTCTTTTCCTAAAAGAGAAGCTGTAGTTCAAACAGGAATTAATTCAGCAAAATCCTCCGGCCTGTGTTCCCCAAAGTGTATGAGCACCACGTCCCTTCTAGCCTTGAAATCTGGGACCGTGGTTCACTGTGGCTCAGAGAGGAAGTGGGGGAGAGAACTGCTCAGAGAGCGGCCTCGAAGGAAGAAGCTGAGAGAAGATGAAAGTGGGTAGCAGCAAGGAGGGATCCATAAGAGGGGGAGCAAATGCATTTGGGAGCCTGCTGAGCATTGTAAAAAGGCCCCATCATTCCCATTTTCTGCTCCAGTGGGGAAATAGGTTTTCTTAACTTCCGTACTGTCCCATTCGGAGTTTAACTTCGCGTCAACGCTCAAAGTGATTGGACCTTATTATGGGTTGTTGTACAGTTTTTGCTTAATTGCGGTCTGGAAAAGTGATCTATGTGCCGAGATGTCTTCTCACCCTTGGGGTGGTGTCCCTTTAAGTGCAGTGTGCTGAACAGTGACACCATGGTATGCAATTACAGTATTGTGGAATTAGCTTTCTTAAGTGCTATTGTTACGGCATTACTAGCTATTTTGGAAGTGGTAATATCCCCCCTCTGCCTGAATATATCACCATGGTGGATCTGAGCCTTCTAACCATGGACAAAGACCTGGCAGCAAAGTCATAGCCAATGGGCCCAGTGCATCTTTCATGTACAGTAACACCACTGACACCAGTGAGGGGTTTTGTCCGTTGCTTTTACTGTTGGAAGCTGAATCTTTGCTTTGTGTTGTGATGCTGGCCAAGGTGAGATAATGTCAAGACAGCCACAGGCCTTTTCCTTCTGATCACGAATTTGGAGAGCGGGTTGCTTTTCTTCGGGTTTAAAGTGGTCAGGAAAAAAATGGCTCCTTATTCAGTGTGTCTGTTCGCTGTGTGTTGGCGTCAAAAGCAAGATGTTACTCTTTGTAACTTTGCAGAGCTGAGAGAGCACAGCGATACACTGGGCTTTCTCCTGCAGATTTCAGCGTTTGCCACAAGGGGGCACCTTGCATTTGATTCATGTTGGGTGTTGCCCATTTGTGGTAACTTGCAGACAGCACCCCAAGAAGAAAAGCGCTTTACCATACTTGTACAAATGTCAGCACTAACTAGAGGTTCATGCTTTAAGATCAGGAGGTCAGAGGTTCAATCCATGCCGTTGGCGCCCACCAAGGGGTGTGGCGTTACACGGAACCTTTGAGAACTTGCTTAACTTCTCCGTGCCTCAATATCCTGACCTAAAAATGGGGAGAATGGTACATCCCTATCACATGGAGATGGTGAAGCTTAATTCTTGTCTGTACAGCACTGTGCCCCTACAGAGGTGCACAGAGCACTTGTTCTTTTTGTTTGCTGATCCGTCCATTTCCTTCCCCTTGTTTTCTCTCGTGGGGCTTCTGTCCCAAGCAGGTTTCCGTCAGATCTCACAGAGCAAAGTGGCGGTGCTGCTCCTGGCTGGAGGGCAAGGGACCCGCCTGGGCGTGGCCTATCCCAAGGGGATGTACAGCGTGGGGCTGCCCAGTGGTAAGACCCTGTATCAGATCCAGGCAGAAAGAATCCGCAAACTGGAGCAGCTTGCCGGCAAGAAATACGGCACGACATGTACCATCCCATGGTAGGTAGCATGATATTGAGTATACGTGGTACAGCAGAAACAGAAAGCCATTTGGGCATCCATCACCTGAGAAACACGAGGCCAGAGCGCTTGAAATCTGAGAAAGGTGGATCCTTCAGCCAATGAGATTGAGGTCTCTGGGAACTAACTATAGGTGAGAATCCTGCTTAACAAAGCTTGTAACTTGCTGAAGTTTAGTCTGTAGAAAGTGTGTTTGGCTTGTCACCTTTCATATCTCTTTCACTCCTACTTGAAATCACTTGCACCTATGGCTGTTGTTAGTAAACTTTATTCTTGTTTTCTCACAAAACCATCTCGGTCCTGTTTTAGTGAAGTGCGGGTCTTCAGCTAACCAGCTCATGTGTGCCCTCTCCTTTCGGAGGTAGCAAACTTCTGTGAGTGTCCGGTGAGAGGGACTGACCGCTGCAGAAGGACATATCTGGGGAGCTCGGGAATTGGGGTTCACTGATGGTTACCGCAAGGCCAGTTTGAACTGGCAGAGTCCTGAAGGGTTTGCTGGCAAGACAGCCACAACAAAGCTCACTCTTGCAGAAGCTGAGTGGCAATACGGTAGCTCCCAGTTTGGGGTGACCCGAGCAAGTCGTCGCACAAACGTGAAAAGAGCAGCCCTAAATAGGACACTGCCAAAGATGGGATGCCGCCGACTTTAAGGGTGGTTTATTTACAACTGGACTCGCGATCCCATGACTGCCACTGGCTTATTTCCTTTTCCAAAACCTCAAGGTTTCAAAACAGTCTAAATGTGCAACATGCAAAAAGATAATTGTGCTGGTGGGCGGGTGGGGGAGAGAGAGCGAGAGAGAGAGAGAGAGCACTGACTGTGCAATTCTTGGAACAAGCTGTTGCTAGCAGTTCGTCCTTAACATAAAAGCCGGGTTCTTGTCACTGTCACCTCCCTGCCTGGTCACAGGCAAAGCAGAGGCACAAAAGTGTCTCTGGGCCGTAATCCAGGTGCTGCCTAAACAGCATGGTGCTGTAGGTTGCTCTGCTGTAGAGCTAATGCCCTATTAGTGGAAGTATATCTCACACTCTGTGTATTGGACCGGATCGGTGAGCGCTTGCGGCTCCAGCACCTCTGGAAATCAGGCCCGTTATTCTTAGAATGTAAAATCGAAGTTGATCACATCTGGTGTTTGCCTGGTGCTCTGTTCATTATGAAGGAGATAGTTTGGAAAATGCAGTAGACCAAACCTGGAGGCCAGTTTATGCTGCGGTCAGGGAGAAGTAAGCCCCATGTACGTATGCACATTGGGCTGACCGGTGCTGGGGTGGCTGGTCTGCTATGCAGGAAGGAGACCCCCTGTAGGATAGTAGTGGGAGTTGCAGAGCTGCTTAGGGGGGAACTCAGGAAAATGAGCACTCAGCATCCTTGTATTAAGGAAGAAAAGAAAATTAAAGGGAGGGGAAGATAATGGAGGGGGAGGAGAAAGAAGGCGAGAGAGGAATAAAGAAACTGGGGGCGGGGAACCCACACACAGCTGTGAGGTTGGAAAATATTGCTGTATTTCTCTGGCAGTAAAGAGGCACTGGAAAGCTTTGATTCAAGCTACTGAAAATTCATCACTGGCCCATAAGACCTGGCACAGCGCAAAACCCACTGTGAACCCTTCCTCCTCCCTCTCATGATACCCGTTTGATAAGGCAAAGAGGGTTTTTTGGTCCCTTACCTCAGTTGCTAACTGACCCTCTAACGCACGGGAGTCCAACTCGTTTTTGGACAGGGGCATGTTTAACTATGGTCAAAGTATAAATTCAGGCCTATACTATTCCTTGTAGAGATCCTAGAGAATTGACCAGAAATGGAATCTCTCTGTAGAAGTTTAAGATCAGTAGCAGAGAGATGATTCTGTATGAAATGCTGTAGGTTATTTAAAGTCCCTATAGATTACATCTTTATTAAGTTTGGTCTATAGCAGGGGTGGCCAACCTGTGGCTCCGGAGCCACATGCGGCTCTTCAGAAGTTAATAGGAGGCTCCTTGTATAGGCACCGACTCCGGGGCTGGAGCTACCAGTGCCAACTTTCCAATATGCCGGGGGGTGCTCACTGCTCAACCCCTGGCTCTGCCCCAGGCCCTGCCCGCACTCCACCCCTTCCCGCCCCCTCCCCTGAGCCTGCCGTGCCCTCACTCCTTCCCCCTCCTCTCCCCACGCCTCCTGCATGCCGCGAAACAGCTGATCAGGAGGTGCAGGGAAGGAGGGGGAGGCACTGATCGTCGGAGGTGCTGGGGAAGGGGAGAGCTGATGAGGGGCTGCTGATGTATTACTGTGGCTCTTTGGCAATGTACATTGGTAAATTCTGGCTCCTTCTCAGGCTCAGGTTGGCCATCCCTGGTCTATAGGGTTTTTCTGTAAGGGTATATCTTGCTCTGTGTGTGTGTGTGTATTAACTGCATTTCATCCTGACTGTTCAGCTTTTGTTCTCCCGTAGGTACATCATGACAAGCGAGTTTACACTGGGGCCAACAGAGACGTTCTTCATAGAACACGATTACTTTGACCTGGATAAGACCAATGTGATCATGTTTGAGCAGAGGATGCTGCCAGCTGTAACGTTTGATGGGAAAGCCATCTTGGAACAGAAGGGGAAAGTTGCCATGGCACCAGGTACCCTGCAGTTTGCGCGTGATAGTCACAGGAGGGGAGTGTGTGTTGAAATTCAGCCCCTCTCTTGGGCACACAGGGGACTCCCTGCTGCTACATATATTAACGCTCCTGATTAGCTTCGCTCTGGGGGTTCAGATAAATGCATGCGGTAAACGTTCCGAGCGTGATCATCTCACTGCGCTGGGAGTTCGCCCACATCGCAGACCCTTTCGCACAGTCTGGGAATATTGACCGGACTGGAAGAGCAGGGGCTGGTGCAAGGCAGGGATGAGGCGCACTGGCAGAGCTGTATGTGTGCGGGATGAGAATGGAGGAGAGGCAGGATTATAACAGAAGTGCTGCATGTCAGGACTGAAGGCCATGAGCAGAGCTGTGTATGGGCTGCTGGGCCATCCCCTGCCTATGCTGTGCCGGGCTCCAGTCAGTGCTATCGATTCGGCTGCAAACCCCAGAGAGAAATGCTGTCAGGCTGGGGAGTGATCACGTGGCTGGGAAACATGTTTGTTTTCTAGCAAAGGAAAATTCCGGCAAAGTCTAACTATCACCTTAAAACACACAGTGGCCTCCTGTGCCCAGCCTGTGCGTGATTAAAAGAAGCAGCAAATCCGGGGAAGTGATGTGCCAAGCCTGTGTTGCTGCAGGGGTATCTCCTCCAATGCCGAGTGTAGCGCTGGCTTCCCCGGGAGCTCTTTGGAGCGCTGCAAAGGTTGTAGCCAAGTGAGGATGATCCACTTGATGTGTCTGTTGCATAAGTGTTCAAGGTGCCTTGTACAAAAAACAACACAGTTAAAGGGAAAATCCGACTGTTTTTTAACACTACTGTAAAAAGACAGCAGGCCAAAACCACACCAATTTTTTTTAAAGCTGTATTTTAACTGTGGCAGAGTCTGAAACTTTGGAAGACAAGGGGTGTGTCTGTCATTTAGAATCATAGAATCATAGAATATCAGGGTTGGAAGGGACCTCAGGAGGTCATCTAGTCCAACCCCCTGCTCAAAGCAGGACCAATTCCCAACTAAATCATCCCAGCCAGGGCTTTGTCAAGCCGGGCCTTAAAAACCTCCAAGGAAGGAGACTCCACCACCCTCCTAGTGAAATAGTGTTTCCTAATATCCAACCTAGACCTCCCCCACTGCAACTTGAGACCATTGCTCCTTGTTCTGTCATCTGCCACCATTGAGAACAGCTGAGTTCCATCCTCTTCTCCGTCTCTATTTAATTCTTTGTGGCACTTGCCTCCAAAGATCTCAAAGCACTTCACAAATGTCAGTGAACAAAGCTCCGAAACCCCTCTTGTAGCATAGGTCAGCGTCACTATCCCCATTTTACAGATGGGGAAACTGAGGCACTATAGTGAACTGACTTGCCCACGGTCATGCAGTTTGTCCGGGGCAAAGCCAGAAGTAAAATGCACCCGAGCTGACTCCCAGTCCTGCACTTTAACCACTAGAAAAACCCTCCTTGTTATAGATTGTTCAGGGCATGTGGCGTCTGCAGTCAGTCAACGCGTGGTTTGAGTGGCTGGACATTAAGGAAATGGGGCCCCCTCTTTCTTTTGCATTCCAGATGGCAATGGCGGCTTATATCGTGCTCTAGTGGACAACAAGATCTTGGAAGACATGGAGCGGCGCGGTATCCAGTATATCCATGTGTACTGTGTGGACAATATCCTCGTCAAAATGGCTGATCCCGTCTTCATCGGCTTCTGCGTGTCTAAAGGGGCAGACTGCGGTGCTAAGGTGAGGTGATGCTGACGTTGGACCACTCCCCCAGCATGCCTGTTCATGCGTACCAAGGCTCTGGGGTGTGTACCATGGCTCAGCGGAGTTCAGGTGACACCTGTCCATGCAGCTTCCATCTTGATCCCACCGGGAGAACTGCACCAGTGGTGAATCTTGCATCCAGTTTGTACCATTGTGGTTGCAGATATAAAGCCCTGTGCCCTTTCCACAAGGTGCCATGGCAATCACATTCAGATTATTTTATGGGCTTCATCAAATTGCACGGGAAATTACAACCTGAAATTGTTTCTTTTCTAACTCCCTGCTCTTCCTTCAGAGACCAGGGGCTTGTGTACACTGGGGTGTCTTTTACAAATACACCAGACTAGATGCTCCCTTAGTGGGGAGTTAGATGGAACAAAGCTAGCATGTTTTTGTGACAGTACAGCAGCAGGCCCTTGACATTTATTGAAAGCGATTTGGGCAGCATGCAATGAAAAGTGTTAACATAGATAAAGATCTTAAAGGAAGTGACTAGAAATATTTTGCATTTCATGTTGGGTCAAATGAAAGGCCCTTGGTAGGAAAAATGTGCCCGAGAATACTCTGTTCTCGCTGAGCATTGCATTTTCTTCCAAATGCTTTGGCTCGTAAACTGGTTGAATACTGTCTAAGAAGCCAGATTCATGAGGGCAAAATGCACCACCAATGCTGCGATGTCCCCTTTGTTGTGCTGCTATGGCATTTGAAGGTCAGCGCTTAGCAGAACCTCACTGCGTGCGAGTTTTCCCACAGGGTTTGCACTAGCCCCCAGCAATGCCAATGGAATCCCTGCCTCCTGGCTGCTCCCCCTATCCTCTGTCTTGTGGCTGCAGGTGGTGGAGAAGGCCTATCCCACAGAGCCTGTCGGGATAGTGTGCCGTGTGGACGGGGTCTATCAGGTGGTGGAATACAGCGAGATCAGCCTAGAGACCGCCCAGATGCGGAGTCCCGATGGGCGGCTGGTGTACAGTGCCGGCAATATCTGCAATCACTTCTTCACGCTCGGCTTCCTCGAGACAGTGGCACAGTAAGTTCCGCTGCACCTGCCAGCTCGCTTTTCGGACTGAAAATATCCATGGCAGAAACTATCCTGCCGGCTGTGGTTTCTAGGCTTCTGTTATGGGATAATCTCCCCGCCCCCTTCTGTGAAAAACAGGTGCATCCGCTGAAGTCCCCAGCACCTTCTTCTACTCACCGGTTGCCCGCACTGGTGTAACCAAATCACCTTAGTTACATCCGTGCAAAAGCTCAGTTTAGCTCAATCTGGTAATTACCGAATTATGCTAAACGGGGGTAACGGCAGCTTAAACCTGTTCAAGGGCACTTACCTTAGGGATTTGCTCTGGTGTCACTGAATCAATTCCAGATCAAGTCAGTGACGCCGGTGCAAGTTTTCTAGTATAGCCAAGCCCTGAGTCTGTCTCGGACTCGACTCTTGTGGAGGGTTCCGCCCACTGTTCGGAAGCCAGCCACAAGTGGGGCTGCTCTACCCTACTGCTCTTCAGCTTGATTTGCGACGATCTCGTTTGCCGTAGCAGCTCTGGCAGGGACGCGCTGCAGAGTCAGCTCGTTCCATCCCCGGAGAGGGGACCCAGAGCTCTGCTGTGCACAGCAGCAGTGTGGGCTGATTAAAGAGCAGCTCTGAAGTAGTCCAGTCATGTCAGTCATCTTCGACGGGCAGGATTTTAATCCTGGTGCTGGGGGAAATGGGTGAGGTCTGTGGGCTCATACGTGGCTGAAGAGGCTCTCTTAGTAAGATGCGGGGGAGCAAACCTTCATCATTAGAGCATGGGAACCTTGGCTTCCAGAGGCATTGCTATAGGGGGTTGGAGCTGTTGTTTGCAATGCCCGGGAGAGAGGTAATTCGGAGAAAGCAGCTGTCAGTCAGCTTTGAACCATTTCCTACCCACTGAGTACGATCCAGCAATGGGAGTTAATTCTAATGAGCTTGTGTTTCATTGGCTGAGTGTGGCCTGCTTCCAGAGAACGCCACCGCACAGCTCTCCAGCAGGACAGGTTTCTTCACACCATGTACAGTTCAGTCCAGCTCTTAGTTAAACTTGGCGGCTGGTTGGTTTTATTTCCCCCCTCCCCCTTTTGTCCTCTCTCTCCCGGTTGTTATTGCAAATTTGTGCTCTCTGATTGCATGTCAGATCTGGGCATTCCTGTAGCCTGGAGTTCCTGAACCTACGCAGAATAACTGCCTGGTTAGTTTCATATCAGGCCCTGAGCAGGGAGCCTTTGCTTGTTGATGGAATCACTGGGGTTACTTCATCTTCTTAAGAAAGTGAACCTACCTGGGCCGAGAGGGATTAGGCATGTTTGGGGCTAGACGGAGGGAGAGATCCGCACAGCCCAGCAGTGACCTCTGGCAGCTTAAGGAGTCGCACCCATGGGTTCCAATGGTTGCATCATAAAGTTAAGGGATGGGGCAGAATTACCGGGCTCTGGCAAGAGTGAGTGTTGCCCCTAGAGTTGGGGAGGGAGGTGTCCAAGGAACCCCTGGGTGCCCCAAAGAGCGATGCTGGCAATTCACTAAGGGGCACTCTTCCCTTGGCCCAGCACAGTGCTGGGGACACTACGCTGCCGGAGGGCCCCTCTCCTTGGGTGAGAGGCAACATTGAGGTTGTTTAATAGGCGGAGACAAATCCAGTGAGCTTTATTTCGTTTCTGTTCAGCCTGGAGTCGGGCAGAGCTTTTATGGAGGTCAGCGGTAGGTTTGTCTGAGGAAGGATCTTTGGCTTTGGCCTGGGCTCACTAAAGAGCCGGTGGAATTAAGGTTCCTGGTCAGATTCCAGCTCTGGCAGTTACTTTTTTAAAAAACTCTTCCTGGAGTTTCAATTGGACACAGAATTCTTCTTCTCTTCCTGCCGGTTGTGTAGTGTTGGTGGCCCAGAATGGCTGCCACGTTTCCCCACAGAGGTGGCTGCATTTCTGTGGTCAGTGAAGTGATCCTTAGGCACAATTTATTATCTGTTTGTAAAGAGCTTTGGAATGAATGGCACTCAGTAATCCCGAGGTATGGCTAATAGTAGTAATAAGCAGTTTGCTGCTGAGACCTGAGATCTCCCCTGCCCGTGTTTTGGGTATGAAGTAAATGAACCTGGTTTTCCTCCTCTTTCACCCTGGCAGGAAATTTGAGCCCCAGCTGAAGCAGCATGTAGCCATAAAGAAGGTGCCCTACGTCGACGAGGAGGGAAATCTGGTAAAGCCGCTAAAGCCAAACGGGATAAAGCTGGAGAAGTTTGTGTTTGATGTGTTCCAGTTCTCTAAGTTAGTGGCAGACGTCAATCTTTTCCTTCTCAGTATTCTCTTTGACTGTAGGTTGCAGCACGCCTTTACGGGTAGCATGGACTTTGAAAGTGACATTGGGGAGGCTGGCGAAAAGACTGCTACATCTGCTGGGGTCCCCCAATACTGCGATGGCCCAGGCACTGCCAGCTTCATATTTCCCATGCCCTGTTGGGCGTGCTGTGTTCTGGAGCACATAGCCCCAGCACCTGTGAACCTGGCTTTGAATGTCTGCAAATGAATGACTGCACGCTCCACTGGGTGTTATCTGGTGGCGTGGGTCTTCGTCTCATACATGAAACAAGGAAATTCCATGCAAAGCCTACATTTGCTAAATTCTCAGCCATAAGGTTGTAAGCCCACAAAAGTCAGGCCATCTAGAATTGCGGTCCCTGTGGCAACTGTGACTGTTAGATTTTACACACACATTAAGCCCAGGTATTCAATTAGCACCATATACAGCCGTAACACACATTATTTAAGGATTGTATGGCCAAGTTACAATTGCTGTTGGAACAATAAATGTTGCCTGACTTTTTAATGCATGTAAAAAATCAGTCTTAATGTAGCATTAATCTGGGGGGAAAGGGAGTTGCACTTAATAGTTCAAGTATCTACCATCATTCTTATTCTAAACTCTGTTTTCCTGGGTCTAGAATTCAGCACTAAATCATAGAATCTCAGGGTTGGAAGGGACCTCAGGAGGTCATCTAGTCCAACCCCCTGCTCAAAGCAGGACCAATTCCCAGACAGTTTTTTTTACCCAGTTCCCTAAATAGCACCCTCAAGGATTGAACTCACAACCCTGGGTTTAGCAGGCCAATGCTCAAACCAGCTATCCCTCCCCTCCCATTGCTGGAGATTCACTCCAGGTTGAAATATAAATATAAAGGAACCTCGGCCTGAGTGTGGTGGCTTCTTGTTTATAGATTTTTAAATCAATTTCTATTAAAGGGATTTAATTTAGGACTAAGCTCTCCGAAGTTTGATCCAGCTGTTTGCGCCATACAGCTGCTTGCACAGTCCATGGAAATCCTGTTTTTTGGGGGCGTTATTTTTTAATAAACAAGTATCCCTGGAGGGCTGCTGACACAAACAAGTCCATGTGCACTGCCTAGCCCTACTGAGCAACTCGACAAAAATAACCCAGTATACCACGATGGCAAAATAATTCTGCTCCAAAAACAGATCTGAGTTTCAAGCTGTGAAAGGGCTAATTATAAGCGATGATTTTTAACTGTGGCAGAATGCATTGACAGATTGAAATGCAAAAATATGCAGGTGTTGCTTTGGGGAGATTCTGTTCACATTTCCCATTACTGAAAAACAGCTCTTTTAGGATATGTCTACACAGCCCACGGCAGCGAGCCTCCCAGCCTGGCTCAATAGACTCAGGCTAGCAGGGTGGGGGCTAGACAGCTGGGCAGACAGCGATTTGATGTCGCCGCTCACGCTGGAGCTCGGACTCTGAATCCTAGGGCAGCGGTGGGCTTTAGTGCCCAACCTCCAGCCTGAGACACCATGTCAAAGCGCTGTCTACACAGCTGCTCTTAGAGCACTAGCATGATCCCCAACCCGGGTTGGGCGGTTCCTTCCACAGCTGTGTAGACACACACTTAATATTCTGCTTGACTGTATTGTGCAGGTGGCTTGTTCGTAACCAGGACTAGCGTTGCTGACCCTAGCCCCCTCCTAAGGAAAGAAACCTAATTTACTATAACAGTTTCTTGGTTTAGAAAAACCGGGCTCGGAGTTCAGTTGGACCTGTTTGTTCATAACAGATTTTCATGTGCAGTGTAGCAGGGCTTACCCAGCCTAGCTTCCGGCCTTACTTCTGCCTCTGTTCCCCCTGCTTGTAACCCACCCTCTGGGCTCACGGTCCCTTATTTATCACCCTTCTAGCTGAGGCTTCCCAGCCAGCAGGCTGCTGCACCCTGAAGGTGTCTCTCTCCCCTAGGCCTTGTGCCTGGGAGCTCTGTAGAATTGTCACCTGCTCTCTTCACAACAAACTTCCTGTCCAAACTGCCCTTACATTCCCCTTTACTCCTGTGCTCCCATCCCAGGACCCTTGTATTCATTCACTCTCCACCAGGGGAAGGGGGCTAAGCCTGGCTTCATTCTGCGGGGCTATTCTACATCAGTGCTACCCAGGGTAAGCCCCCACCCTGTGAAATCTGTAAGTGTCTGTACCATCAAGAGAGGACCCATATTAAGCTTTTTCTCTCTTTCCTGACCCCTCCTCTTCTCTGATAGGAATTTTGTTGCATTTGAAGTTTTGAGGGAAGAGGAGTTCTCCCCGTTAAAAAATGCAGACACAGCCGACACAGACACTCCGACCGCAGCTCGGCGGTCCCTCCTTTCTCAGCATTACCGCTGGGCTCTGAAGGCTGGAGCCAGATTCCTGGATGAAAATGGCAGCAGGATACCAGAGAAACTCAAGTGAGCCCCTCTGTGACATGTTCTGTTGTTTCCCTCCCAGTCGCTACCGAATCTGGGCTGGTTTGTGGCATTTTACGCTGTTGCACGGAATTTGTCACTTCTTGGGGTAGAATTTCCTGCAGTGGTGGGTGTGGTTCTTGTCCTTTACCAGGCCTTTCATTAACACGCCGCTGGAGATCAATGCTGATTACTGCTCCTGCTGCATTAGTGATCAGAGCTCACGTGTAAGGCTAAGATTTAGTCACAGGTATTTTTAGTAAAAGTCATGGACAGGTCACGGGCAATAAACAAAATTCACTGCCCGTGACCTGTCTATGACTTTTACTATAAACACCCCTGACTAAATCTTAGCTGCACCAGCCCTGCTGCACTGGGGGGGCACCGCTGCACTGGGGGAGGGGCCCTGGGGCACCACTGCACTCGGGGGGGTCCGGGTCCCGTCCCAGCGACCACTGCTCTGGGGGACGCCGCGGCCAGCTGCCCGGGGCTGCCAAGCAGCGGCTGGTGCGGCTGACTGCGGGGCCGCCCGAGCGGCTGGCTGCGGGGTGGCTCCAGCAGCGGCCGGTGTGGCTGGCCCCAGGGTCAGCCATGCTGGCCACTGCAGCTGCGGAATTTCACAGAGGTCGTGGAAAGTCACGGAATCCGTGACTTCCACGACCTCTGTAACAAACACGCAGCCTTAATCATGGGAGGTGGAATGAGTTCTGGGTGCAGGTCACAGGGCAGCCAGTGTACGGATACCCTTAATGGGGTCGAGACACCCATAGGCAGAAGCTTCTGCTGATGGAACATCCACCGAGGGCTGAGTTTGCAGCAGTGTAGAGTGCCCACAACCAGAGTTATGCCAAGGTTGTGTAGGGGCCCATGCATCCGCAAATGTCAGGGATGCTGTACGGAAAGGGGGCATGGCCAAGGCTGTCAAGGAGAGTACTGAGTCAGTAGTTCACCTCCACACCCCCATGGAACCCTGGCAGGATTTAAAGCTGACCCCCAGGATAGAAATCCTGACACAGAGAACGTTAGCGGCAATACTGCCTTTGTTGCAGTCATTCTTTCTCTTGGCATTAAGGGCTTAGCCAGCACCGCAGAGGTGTAAGTTATCCGATCTGCACCAGCTGTTCTGAACAGGGCCCCAATACTTCTCATTGTATAGCAGTGTTTTTGTTCTGTTGGGTACTAACATCTGGTTGTCAGCTACTATATAACAATCCCCATTTCAGGTGCTTCCTTTCTCACACTTAATTCACACAAACTTTACCATGGGGGGCGGGGGGGGGGTGTCTGTTGTTTCATCATCTCATAGTCCAGTAAACCCAGAAGCGGTTAATATTAGTTGAAAAGGACATCGTCGAAACCTGCGTGCATTTGTTTCTTTTGATTTGAAGTAGCCAGAAAACGTTAACTCCTCCTATTTACCCATAATGCAGGTTCAAACTGTCACAGGACCTGGGCTTAATCTCTGAATGTAAACTCTCTCTTGCCCCTTTGGTGTAGCCTGTTCTGTTCTGTGAGCTCTCTCAAGGATGCCAGCATTGTACAGACATATAAAGAGAAAGATTAATCCTGTGTTTTATTCTTTAGTTTATCGGGAACTGAAGATCCTCCTGCTGTGTGTGAGATTTCTCCATTAGTGTCTTATTTTGGAGAGGTGAGTATAATTGTCTCTGCAGATATTTTTAATGGTGTGTGTGTGTGTGTATTTCCTTTTGAAAAAACAGGTTTCTTCACCTTGCAGTTGCTTGGAAATATGGTAATGGTTAGCCGAAGGGGCCTGAGATTCAGGACCTTTTGCCTTATATTTTTGGCTGTGCCACTGACTAACAGTATGACATTGGTTGCATCCCTTAATCTCCATGTGTCTCAGTTTTATCCATCTGTAAAGTGAGATTTGTAATACCTCCCTCCCTTGGGGCTGTGAGACTTTGATTTATAAATGCTTTGAGATCCTCTGACTAAAAGCTTTCTGGATGTGCAAAATATGATTAATAAATTCATCAGGCCAAATCCTCAGATGGGGTAATTCTGCACACGAGTTTGCATCAGATAAGTATCTCGCCCATAGTGAGCAAATAATACTTAGCAACAACACTGCTTGGTATACGCTCTGCCTTTCGGAGAGACTGGATTTCAGAAGAAATCTGTGGAGTCTTGCTCCTGAAACTGATAGTCTTTGTAGGACAACCTTTTTTTTTTTTTTTGGGGGGGAGATTCTCTCTTCCCCTCACTACTTACAAAATCATGTGGGAGAGGCTTTCTTTCTGTGTTTCTAGCCAGGGCCTGGTGTGGAAGAAAGGGGAAGCGGCCTAGAATGATATAGCAGTGTGAAGGAGGCAGGCCATGCAGCATACAGCTTTATCTGGGATAAGTAGGATAGGAAATAGCCCCACAAGAGACCCAGAGAGCAGCATGGTGAAACAGACTTTTCTCAGGCCTGGTCTATACTAAGAAGATGGGCTGAGCCAGTTGCATTGCTGAGGGATGCGAAAAATCCACCCCCCAGTGACGTAGCTATGCCAATCTAGCTCCCAGTGTAGACAGTGCAAGGTTGACGGAATTCCTCCATCGACCTAGCTACCACCTCTCAGAGAGGTGGATTACCTACACCTCTGGGAGAAGCCCTCCTGTCAGCATAGGTAGTGTCTACCCTGTGGCATTTAGGGGTAGACAAGCTCCTAGAGGGTATTTGTAAACACTTAGGTCTTGTCTTAACAAGGGGGGGGGGGGAAAGTGTGTTCTTAATTCATGTTAAGTCACGCAGGACAACTAATTTGAGGCAAAATCCTAGTGAAGACAGAGCAGTTTGTAGTTTTACCCTATGTTCACAGGTTGCAGTAAAGGCAGATGTGTCTATGCTGCTGTGGCAACACCGTAATGTTTTTAGCGCACTAGTTCACGCAGAGCTAGCACATGTGTGTCGTCTACCCCAGCTGGGAATTACTTGTCTCGGCTACTGTGTAGACATAGCTAAAGACTATGAGGGAGCCTAGGGTTAAACTCTTCCTTCTAACACATGTTAACTACAAACTGCCTTGTCTTCACTAGAATTTTGCCTGGAGTTAGTTACCATGTGTTAACTAACCTGCGTTAAGAACACACCTTCCTTCTTCTTGGAGATACACCCTTGGAGGTCTGTTGCAAGGGGGTTGAGCTGTGCCATTCCCACTGACTTTACTGGGCACTTGGTGGCTAAGCCCCTTTGCATCACTGTGGAAACACAGGGTTCAGCTTTGTAGCATATTGCAGGGGAAGTTGGGGCTGCTTGTCTGTACTTTGTTTCTTTAGACAGAAAATCTTTAGCCTCCTGGGCTGTGAGTCACCCTTCCCCAGTACTAAATGCACTAAAAATAACAACGTCAACCAAGTCTGATGTGTTTACAACCTAATTGCATGTTGTTTTCCTGTATTTTCAGGGTCTGGAGGCACACATGAAGAGCAAAGACTTCTATTCGCCCTTTATACTTGATGAAAGCAAAATAGAAATGCTAGAAGATGCTTGAATGAAGAAAAAATAAAAATCTGGCCATCAGCTCTATGCTGGGAACAGACACTGCTAAACCATTGGCTTTGTTATTAATGATAGAGATAATTGATTGGGTAGCAATTAAGCTGACAAATATATAGAGACATACTCTAATTCTGTTTGCTAACTTTGAAGGCAGCATCTTTACCTCAGCATACGTGTAGGTTCAGGTATGAATGAAGTTATATTTGTGCTCTCAATTACAAACAGATTTTATTTGTGCATTTGAGCCTTTTCCTTTTATTTTAGAAGAGCCATTGGGACCAAATCCATCTGCTTTGCAGTTTAACGGGTCTAATTCTCCTCTCACTACTTCTTATTCCCACTGACATTATTGGGAGTTGTGTGTGAATATGAAGATTAATCTGACGCCCAATTCTGTAAAGGCTGATCACGCTCAAGTCCCATTCCACCTTGCAGGATTGGGCCCTTTCTCCTGAATATCTGGTGGTGGTAGTTGTTTTTTACGTAATCCTGCAAAGATCCCAATTCTGCAATCGTTACTGATGAACGGTGCTCACTTAAGGAGCCCAAATGCACAGAATTGGGGCTTACTTCATTGGGGCTCTTGGTGTGAAGAAGTGTTCCTTAACAAAAGGGTTGCAGAATTGGGAATAAAAGGCTTGCATGTCCAGGAGTCACCTCACCAACAAAATATGAAGGAGATATGCAGGTTAGAGGGATTCTACCTGGCACAGTGCTACATTTTAAGGTGTGATCTAGTCTTTAAAAATCAGTATAAAAATGTTTTTACAACATCCTTCCACTTCTTTTGTCCTGAGGTGAACTTTTTTCCATTTTGCTTTATAGCATATCTCTAATGTTTGGACTTTATCTAAGTGCCTTAAAACAATAATTGGAACAAATCCAGGTGGTAGAGAAAACTGTTAAATCCAAAGAGCAAGAACTATTTACTCCCAGCATAAACTATGTAAGCAATAAAACAGCAATAATATGCCTTCACAACCGAGTGGAAGGGTACGTGTCCAGTACTCCTGCCTCCCTTGAAGTGTTGTATTACTCTGTCATAACTTCCTTCTTAAAGTTATCTTTAAATAACGTTTAGTGAAAAGTGCAAGATTGAGAACCTGGGTTAACAGAGCATGGGTAGCAAACTGCACCTCAATCTTGACCTAGAAGAACCACCTGTAAGGATGGGGTGGAAGTGCCTTCTCCTTGGACGCTGCAGTCTTTGACACTGTTGTGCTTTGTGATGTGGAATACTAATCCACTGAAATCTGCACTGAGATCACCAAAGTCATTTCATAGTTATAAAAATATACTGAGAGTCTATTGACCAAATACTGCATTTGCAGATGCAGTTCTACAGGTATCTTCACGGTCAGAAACTTGTCACCCAAAGTCCTTTCTCCCCACCCCCAATAACAGCCATTTTATAAAGCTAAAGAAAGCAATTGGGGAATATATTTAATTTGGATTCTGATATTTCCGACCAGGAAATTGCTGACCTGTTATTAAACATAAACCTTTTTATAAACTAAAAGAGTGAATTTTTAAAACTCCTGCCTCTGAAAGTACCCAGAATTTTGGTGAAATATAAAAATTGCCTGTAGAGTGATTGTAATTTATGCACTGGGCACATAATTTCTTAAGAAAGAATCTAAATTTAGTCTGCCAGATTTGCATGTATGAGTTGTATCTGCACATATGAGTTGCAAATGGCCATTTGCACATGCAGATCACTGATTGCATCCCTAATTACTTCATTAGCATGTGTAACTGGTACCTTAAAGAATGATTGTAAATTTGGCACTTGCCTTTGACAGTTCAGTCTATAAACTAAATTGCAGGATTTTCCTGAGGTAATTCTATTTCAGTCAAGCTACTGAATGATAGCTGAAGACAAATCACACAGTATCTCTGTGACTGATGCTTGTTAAGTCAGGCACAGGTTTATCTTAAACTTCACTGTGCTCAAAGGATACTTTTTTCCTGCAGAGTTCCTCTGCCCAATGAATACATTTTCTTCAGAGCCTGAATTACAGTTCAGCCCAACACACTTTCATGCCATGAACATGTAGCACCTGATACGGGTTTTTATACTGTGTTTTCAAATAGGAGCTGAATGAGAATGCTGAATGTTCTTTTCCTGGCTCCTTGTGTCTTAAACTGGAAAATTAAAACGGATTTGAAGGGAACTTCTTAAATACTAATTATGTGTATCTGTCACGTATTGGGTTAAAATAATTCTAGCATTTATGATGAATGACACTTTTTATAAAACAAAAGGAGATCACTCTTTTATGTCTCCCAAAGTTTTCTTGACTACAGTTCTATAATAAAGATATTACTATGATTTCTAGTAGGTTTTCATCTGTATTTCTTGCATGTGGGTAATACTCTGGTATTTTGTCCTGGATATCATTGATGTTGCCACTGCTGCTGTGGATAGTATTATTGACGATCTGTTTTAAAGATATCGGCATAGCGCACTTTCTTCCAAGATTATGACAGTAACCCAGAAATGGAGCACAGTATATGAAGTTTGACATTATGGGGGATGTATTTTTCAGCAGAACATTTTTTCGTAGTCTCAATTTTTCAGACTTATCAGCTTTAATTTAAAGTAGGATAACAGGCTACGTGGGATGGAGTTAAATTTGAGTCTAAAATAGGTGGTGTGCCTCTTGATAACATACAGCTGAGCTCTACATTCAGTTTCACAGCTGTTGTTTATATAGAAATTTACACAAGGTGATAAGTGGAATAACACTTTTACTCTAACATCACACATTAGCAATCACTTTTAAAGGGGGCCCTATTTATGGAACAATCTACAGGAAAATCCTAGTGCTTCTTCACAAGTGGCAGATTGGTGATGTCTCTGCTGGTTTGCTGGGCTCTAGTACTTTAATAATCCAAGGAGGATCGTTGTACATCCTCCCATTCCCTCCTCCACTGGTGAGGATGAGTTTCCAAAACAAGCTGAGTTTTTAAACTGCATGACTTGATGATTTATTACCAAAGGAAAATAAACACCTGGAAACTATACCAAATGCTTCAGGACTCTGGGAATTCATTGGTCTTTGTTTCTGTAAAATTTTATAATTACCAGACTAGTTTTTTTATATTTTTCTTTTTTTAATCCTCAAACACTAGACAAAGTGAAGGCTTTCAGTTTTATTTGTAAATCTAGTGACAGATGGTCTCCCACCTAAGTACTAACCAGGCCTGAGATGATTTAGCTTCTGAGATCAGACAAGCATTTTCTGTTAATTTAGTGCTAGTCTGATAGTGGTGAGAAATGAAGTCCACTTGTAGAACTGATAGGACATGGGCAGCTGCAAACTCCCTCTTTCCCCATTGTGCTTCAGACCTGACCTGGAGCGGGGACCTACCTCTAGGGTGTAGAAGATAGGATGATTTTCTGAGGTTACAACATGGTCTACTGATTATGGTCAATGGTGATGGTAGGCTTTGTCCTGTTGGACTGGACCACTCAGGATAAAATAGTAGTGAAAGAACCAACCCCATTCACATCATCTGCCAAACAGCTGATAGTCAACGTTGGTTTTTGGTCACTGACCTTCAAAGCAGCGAGCTAGATCTGACATCAGGAATCATAACATTCAAAAACCAGTGGGAGAACACTTCAACCTCTCTAACCACTCAGTGACAGACTTGAAGGTGGCAATTTTGCAACAAAAAAACTTCAAAAACAGACTCCAAAGAGAGCCTGCTGAACTTGAATTAATATGCAAATTAGATACAATTAACTTAGGTTTAAACAGACACTGGGAATGGTTGGGTCATTACACTAATTGAATCTATTTCCCCATGTTAAGTTCTCCTCACACCTTCTATGGGTCATCTCGATTATCACTTCAAAAAAAAATTTTCTCCTGCTGATGATAGCTCATCTCAATTGATTGGCCTCTTACAGTTGGCATGACTACTTCCACCTTTTCATGTTCTCTGTATGTATAAATATCTTCTTTCTGTGTGTTCCATTCTATGCATCCGAAGAAGTGGGCTGTAGCCCATGAAAGCTTATGCTCAAATAAATTTGTTAGTCTATATAAACAACAGCTGTGAAACTGAGCATCCAGACACTCCCGGTTGGAAGGCCAAGATAGCAGCGACGGGTACTTTTATGGATGACACTGCCAGGCTTTGCTGTTTCTGGTGCACAAGGTACTCTAGGATGAGAGATATAGGTGCCTGAAGTGGGGGTGTATGACGCTGGTCACACCAGCAGGTAAACCTTTTCCACTTTGCCAGATAAGTGGCCCTAGTGGAGGACTTTCTACTGCCGAGTAAGACCTCCCTTACCTGTTCTGAGCACAGAAGCTCCATGGGGTTTAGCCATGAAGCTTCCAGGCTGTGAGGTGGAGGGACTGGAGGTCGGGGTGATGAAGACGACCATGGTCCTGAATGATCAGGTCGGGGAGGAGTGGCAACATGATCGGGGCGTCCACCGACAGCTCCAGGTGCGTGATGTACCCATGTTGTCATGGCCACGCTGGTGCCACCAGAATTATCTCCACCCTGTCCCTGCAGACCTTGAGTAGGACCTTGTGCATGAGAGGGATCAGGGGAAAGGCATAGAGCAGGCGGCCTCCCCAGGGTAGCAGGAATGCGTCTATGATTGAACCTGGGCTGTGCTTCTGGAAAGAGCAGAACATTGGGCACTTTCTGTTGCCCCAGGTGGCAAACAAATCAACCTGGGGAAACCCCCACCTTTGGAAGATGGAGTGTATGACATCCAGTCGGATGGACCATTCGTGATTGCGGAAGGACCTGCTGAGGTGGTCCGCCAGTGCGTTCTGAACTCCTGGTAGATAGGATGCTTCCAGGTGACTGGAGTGGGCTATGCAGAACTCCCATAGCTGGAGGGCTTCCTGACATAGGGGAGAGGAGCAGGCTCCACCCTGCTTGTTGATGTAAAACATGGCAGTGGTGTTGTCCGTCAGAACTGCCATGCACGGGCCTTGTAGTCAGGCCTGGAAGGTTTGGCATGCTAGTCACACCGCCCTCAGCTCCTTGATATTGATATGGAGTGAGAGCTCGTCCTGTGACCACAGGCCCTGCGTCTGGTGGTCTCCCAAATGCGTGCCCCATTCCAGAGCTGACACGTCCATTACCAGGGACAAGGAGGGCTGGGGGCTGCTGAAGGGGACTCCTTTTCACACTGTCTGAGGGTCGAGCCACCATTGGAGGGACTCGAGCACTTGCTCCGACACCGTGACCACTGAGTTTAGGCTGTCATGCCCCGGGCGATAGGCCGAAGCAAGACACACCTGGAGTGGCCTGAGCCTCAGCCTGGCGTGCCGGATCACTAAGTGCTGGCTGCCATGTGGCCGAGGAGACTCAGGCATCCCCTTGCTGTGGTGGTGGAGTATTGCCTGAGGCGTTGAATGATGTCTGTCATGGCTTGGAATCGGGACTCCGGCAAAAGCGCTCTTGCCTGAACCGAGTCCAACACCGCCCTGATGAACTCTGTTCTTTGGGTCAGTGAGAAGATTTGACTTATTCTTGTTAAGGAGGAGACCCAGTCTCTCGAAAGTGGATCTGATTAAACGGACTTGAGACTCCACCTGCTCCCTGGAGCGCCCCCTGAGCAGCCAGTTGTCGAGGTAGGGGTATACCTGCACCTGCCTCCTTCGGAGGAAGGCTGCTATGACCAATATGCACTTGGTGAACACTCAGGGGGCTGTGGACAGGCCAAAGGGAAGAACAGTGAACTGATGTGTTTGTGGTTGACCACAAACCATAGGAATCTTTTGTGTGCAGGCTGAATAGCTATGTGAAAGTATGCGTCTTTCATGTCGAGGGCGGTGTACCAGACTCCCGGATCCAGAGAAGGGGTAATTGTACTGAGGGAGACCATGCTGAACTTCAACTTCACCATGAACTTGTTGAGTCCTCACAGCTCTAGAACGGGTCTGAGACCCCTCTTGGTTTTGGGGATTAGGAAGTATCGGGAATAGAATCCCTTGCCCCAGAGCTCCTGAGGCACCTCCTCCACTTCTCCTATGGCGAGGACTGTCCATGCCTCCTGGATAAGGAGTTGCTCCTGAAGAGGGATAGGGAAGGGGGGTGGGAGGGAGGGTAGGAGCAGAATTGGAGAGAATATCCCACTTCTAACGTGCGAAGAACCTAGCAGTCTGAAGTTATTTGGGACCAAGCACGGTAGAAGTGGGATAGACGGTTCAAAAAACTTGTGGAAGGATCCGGTGCTGAGACAGGTGCTCCGTCCTCGGGCGGACCTTCAAAAGGCCTGCTTTGAGCCCGACGAAGGTTTGGTCGGGCCCTGTCCCTGCCCAGAAGGATGGGAGGGCATGCGCTTGCCATTCCTGCCCCTACGTCTATAAAAATCCTGCCTCGGCCAAGGAGGATATGATCTCTGTTTTTGCGGATGGGGCTTGAAATGTTTTCGTTGGGTTGCCGCGGTGTGCATACCCAATGACTTCATAGTCGCCCAGGAGTCCTTTAGGCTGTGCAGTCTGGAGCCTGTTTGCTCTGAGAATAACCCTGCGCCTTCGAACGGTAGGTCCTGCAGGGTTTGCTGCACCTCAGGGCAGCCCGGATGCTTGTAGCCACGAGCTCCTCCTCATGGCTATCACAGAGGAAAGGGTGCGGGCAGCCGAGTCTGCAGAGTCTAGCAAGGAGATCTGCGCCACTGCCTTCCCTTCGTCAATAATTGCCGAGATCTCGGCTCTGGAGTCTGTTGGGATCAGCTCCTTAAACTTCCCCATGGAGGCCCATGAGTTGAAGTTATATCTGCTGAGGATAGTTTGCTGGTTCGCTATCCTCAGCTGCAGGCCCTCCAGAGAGTCGACCTTTCTACCAAAAAGGTCCATCCTTTTCGACTCCTTGGATTTAGGGGTTGGCCCCTGCTGCCCCTGCCTCTCCTCAGTAACCGCAGCCACTACCAGAGAGCACGGCTGCAGGTGTGAGAACAGGTACTCGTAACCCTTAGAAGGGACGAAATATTTGCGCTCCATGCCTCTATCGGTAGGCGGGATGGATGCAGGGGTCTGCCATAGAGACTTAATGTTGCTCTGGATCGTTTTTATCAGGGGCAGAGCTACCCTGGATGGGTCTTCTGGTGCGAGGATGTCGACCACGGGGTCCTCAGGTTTGACAACCTCCTCTGCCTGCAACCCCATGTTACAGGCGATCCTCCGCAGAAGGTCCTGGTGGGCCCTATGGTCAATCAGTGGAGGACCCAAGGTAGAAGCCCCTGCCACTGCCTTGTCCGGGGACGAAGATGAGAAGGCCAGAGGTGGCACGGGGTCCTCCTGACCCTCCAGCTCTCTGATCTCCTCCTGGTCAGTGCCGGGAGCCTCTGAGGCAACTGCTGTTGCGGTGATAGTAGCCTGGCCCTGCAGTGTGACTTGCACCAGAGTCGACTCAGCGGTGACCCGGACAGGTGGTGGGGCTTCTGCCAACGTCGTCTCGGATCCCTGAGGCGTAGGCCTGTCATTGGAAAAACCTCACTCTCAAACCTTATCTACCACTATATACACCAGGGGTTCTCAAACTGGGGGTCGGGACCCATCAGGGGGTCGCGAGGTTATTGCATGGGGGGTCATGAGCTGTCAGATTCCACCTCAAACCCCACTTTGCCTCCAGCATTTATAATGGTGTTAAATATATAAAAAAGTGTTTTTAATTTATAAGGGGGGTTGCATTCAGAGGCTCGCTATGTGAAAGGGGTCACCAGTACAAAAGTTTGAGAACCCCTGATATACACTAACTATACAACTAAGAGCTAAACTACAACTATCAGAAAGTACGCTAAGGGAAGCACTTGCTAGGCAAGCGACTGCTGTTCCAACAAAGGAACTGAGGAGGGGCCGGGTCAGCAGGGGTATATATCCAGGGGGCTCCACAGCCGACCCCATGGGAGCTACTAAGGGAAAACTTTCTGGCGTCTGTGCCTGCAGCACGCACACACCTAATTGGAATCGATATGAGCAATCACTCAAAAAATATCTTTTACTGGACCAATTTCTGTTGGTGAGAGAGCTAAGCTTTTGAGCTTACACAGAGCTCTTCTTCAGATCTGGGAAACTTAATTAGAGTGTCAGAGCTAAATACGAGGTGGAACAGATTGTTTAGCATAAGTAATATGTTAACATAAATTGAAATATGTTAGTTTAGCATTAATGATCTCTTCCACCTTGTATTTAATGGTGACATTCTGACTGTTTCCCAGACTTGAAGATGATCTCAGTGTTGTAGCTTGAAAATGTGTCGCTCTCACCAACAGAAGTTTGTCCAATAAAATATATGACCTCATCCACCTTGTCTCTCTTACAGACATTGGGACAGTTTAGCTAGCATATCCCAATTCATGTAATTACATCTTATCCCCCTCCATTTTCCCTGCAGTTTCAATTAACTATGTCTCTTCTTCACCATGTCCTGTGCTAAACGCTTATAGCCTTGTGTGCAACTGTTAAACACAGGGCCAGCGTAAGCAAATTTAAAGTCTCCTACAAACCTATGAGATTGTTCTCCCTAGCTGCATGAGCCACGATTTAGTGAGTGATCTTTGCTGCTCCAAATTCCTGCGCAATATCAGCCTTGTGGGAGGGGACTCCAGGGCCGCCCAGAGGGGGGGGGGCAAGTGGGGCAATTTGCCCCGGGCCCCACAGGGGCCCCCATGAGATTTTTTCGGGGCTCCTGGAACGGGGTCCTTCACTCGCTCCGGGGGCCCCGGAAAACTTTTGTGGGGCCTGGGCCCCCGGAGCTTCTTCCGCTCTGGGTCTTCGGGGGCAATTCGGCGGCGGGGGGTCCTTCCGCCCCGGGACCCGCCGCCAAAGTGCCCTGAAGACCCGTGGCGGGGGGGTCCTTCTGCTCCAGGACCTGACGCCGAAGTGCCCTGATGACCTGCGGCAGGGGGTCCTTCTGCTCCGGGACCTGCCGCCGAAGTGCCGGTGTTCGGCGGCAATTCGGTGGCGTGGGCCCCCCACTGCCGAAGACCCCAGGCCCCCTGAATCCTCGGGGTGGCCCTGGGGGACTCACTAATGTGTTCAGGACTAGTGTGTTTGTGAAGGACATTACAGAGAGAGGGTGGAAGTTCCCTGCTAAGCACTGGTGGGAGTGGGGGAAATTTGCAATATGCGCAAGCCAGGGAGGTCATAAGGGGAGCACCGTACTTCCCCAATGGCCTCAAGAGTCAATGTGCTTTTCAAGAACTAGGTATTCTCATGCCAGAGCTTGAAGACAGGACCACTCAAGTTGTGCCCTGGGGCTCCATGTTGAGCTGCACTGAGGGTTGCCAACCCTCCAGGATTGTCCTGGAGTCTCCAGGAATTAAAGATTAATCTTTAATTAAAGATTATGTCATGTGATGAAACCTCCAGGAATTCGTCCAAAGTTGGTAACCCTAGCTGCATTAGCTGAACTGGCCTTGGTAAAATGGTTGCTGTGCCTCACCCCCACTGTGGCTACATTGTGATGACAGGTGAAACGATCCCTATCTGTAGCCAAAGGGTGATCAAATTCTGCACTAAGTGCCCTGCCTGGCTGGTGGATGTAGGGTACCACCTGGCCGGTATTTGACTGGCCTGGCCTTTTTTTTTTTTTTTTTTGGCTTTGTCAGAAAAATAATTTAATCTGCTGGTTTGTTTTTAAAGTGGGTTTAAAGATTTGCATTATTATCACAATACACTGGGATATCTAGTGTTCAAAGTTTCTGTGGCCAGCTGCAGTGTTCCCACCTCCGCAGTTTAAGCGGTAAGAGATCAAAACTGTGGGCCATCCAGCAGCCGTGTGCCACCAACACGCAAGCGCACAGCGCGGTGAGAGAGGGCTTGAGTCGTGCGAGAGTGAGGAGGCGTGCGACATTTCCAATCTCTTATCTATATGCGTTATCTCTCTGGAGACTATAAGTGGCTGTTGAAGGGGGGTTGCGGAGTCGCCTTGTGGTTGGGCTTGTGGTAGGCTTGCTTTGTGGGGCTGGGTGCCAGGTTTGTTTGGTTTTTTGCATTTCAAAGGTGATAACCCTAGGTGGAGGTCTTGGGGGGGGGGATGTTTCACAATGAGGTTTGCTCCCCCTTGCAGGGGCGCAATGAGGGATGATGGGGGGAAGGGCAGCTCTGGTGCCCCCATGGCCACCCAGTAGCCAAGGCCCGGCGTTGCTAAGGCATGCAACGGGGAGGCTGTTGCTATGGGCGCCATAGAGTCCCGCTAGAGCGTGAGGCTAGAGAGGCACCCGGAAGCGGGCTCGTCTGGCGCGGCTCGGAGGCTGCGGAGCAGGATAATGGCGGTTGGGGCGGACGGCGGCTGGCGGTTGGGAGCGGTGCGCGCGCCGGGCTCTGCGTCCTGAAACCGCCGTTATGTACTCGGCGTCGCCGCCGCCGCCGCGACGGGACTTCATCTCGGTGACGCTGAGCCCCGCGGAGGCGGCGGGGGCAGGCGGCTACAACAACAGCAAGGCCTGGAGGAGGCGCTCCTGCTGGAGGGTGAGGGAAGGGGCCCCGCCCCCGCTGCAGGGTGAGGGGCCCGGGGGGGGCCAGCTTCCTGCTGGAAGGGGAGGGGCCCGGGTGACGTGGCCGCCCCGCCCCCTCCCTGCTGGAGGGGGTCTCATGGAGGGGGGGTCCTGCCCCTCCGCTGGGTGCGGGGAGACCCTGCTCCCTGCTGGAGGTTGAGGGGATGTTAGTAGCCCCGGCCCGCGCTGGAGGGGGGGGGGGGGAATCCCAGGTTGGGGGGGGGGGGGGGGGGGGCCCGGGTGGGGGGGGGGGGGGGGGAGCCCCCCCGGGGGGTGGGGGGGGGGGGGGGGGGGGGGGTGGCAGAACCCCCCTTGGAGCGGGAGCGGTGCTCCCTACTTGATGTGGAGGAGGATCGGGGTCTCTCCGACACTTAAGCAGGGGTGCGGAGGACAGGCAGTGGCAGTATCGGTGAGGGAGTGCCCATTCCCCCCACTGAAAGGGCACCCTAGCTGGTGAGGAAGAGGGCATAAGGCACCCCTGCCTAGGGAAGGTCGGTGACAGGGCAACAGCTCTCTTCTCCCAGTCTAAAGAAAAGAGGTAGGATATGCCTAGAGGGGCACTGGACCCCCAGCCCCCCTCCTTTTATCCTACCCATCTCAAGGAAAAGAGGTAGGACGCTGGTGAACATGCTCCTGGGGAGGGTCTGGGGCTACCCCTTTTCGTCTCCCCCTTGAGACAGGAGAGAAGTGAGGTGAAAGCATTAGGAACTTTCATTCCCTTCCCACCCTGGTGAGCTGCTGCACTTGTACTTGCCCTGGGGAACCAAGTTGGGGATAAGGATACGAGTAGCCCAGGAGGTGGTTGTGATAAAAGGTGACATAGGAGATTGAGCAATATAAATGTCTCACCCTTTGTGTTGGGGAGGGATGTACAAGATCAGTGTACAGCAGTGGTCCCCAAACTTTTTACCTCAACCCCCCTTACCCTGTCCACGCTCGCCCCTCCCCCCCGTAGCCGGGAGCAGCGAACGCAAGCAGGAGTAAAGGGGGCTGGAGCCGGCAGCCGGGGCCCTGGGTGTAGAGCCAGGAGCAGAGCTGGATAGCTCTCCCACTCTGCCCCCCTGTGGGGGCAGGCCTGGGCCCTAGCTGCACCCCCCGAATGTTCTTCTGTGCCCCCCTAGGGCAGCGTGCCCCACAGTTTGGGACCTCTGCTGTACAATGATCAGTTTAGGGAATAACAGGAAACGTATGTCTATGCTGGTTGGCAGAGTGAAATGTGTTGACATGTCAGTCTTCACTGAAATGTTTGTGGCCTGTGGTTGCTTGCAACAGTGTGGATGCAGTTGGTATCTCAATCCTGGTAGGAGTGGAGTGCAAGGTTTGTGGAAGTACCGTGGGGCAGAAGAGCTTCTGGGAAACTGAGGGATGTGCCCAAATGCTGCTTTGCCCAGTGAGGGAAGGGTTTCCCAGTGCAAAAAGTTAGCAGCAAGCTGTTACTCTGGTTTAAAAAACCCCCCGAGTGAAATGGTATGTATGGTGCGGGGCACTAAAATATACAAGACCCAAAATGTTATCACTAAATGCAGTTTACTGAACATCTGTAATAGAAGGCTGGTTTTTACTGTATTCTGGCTTCTGATTTCGTAGGATTGTACTTAATTGTGAACAGTCTCTTGTGTTTTATTTTCTTGTTAATTATGCTGTTGGTTTACTGCACTTTCCCAAAGCTGAATGTGGGTGGTTGTCTTTTTTTGGTGGCAGTCTCTCGTTTACATAACAGTTTCACAAAGAGTGATTGTCCGAGGTGGGGTGTCTTGCTTTTCCTATCCAGCTTGAGATGCTTATTTTATTTTTAAGCTTCCTCTTTTGATGCACTAATGTCATTTTTTCATTCTCCCTCTTCCCTACACCTATTTTGCTTCTGCTTTGTATGTCCCTTGTGTATACCATGTTGGCCAGAAGGGAGGAGCCTCTTGGCTCTTTTCCAGAACCAAATCTGGGCAGATGCATAGATCAGCCAGTGAAAGGTTGCTGTAAAAATCCGTGTACTGTAGCTGATGATCTGTCTGGGAGATTTATCACAGTGCAATTTCTCGAGTCTCCACAGACTCCGGCAGTGAGTGGCCCTGATCTTGTTCTCAAACCTAGCCTACCATATGCTAGCATGCTGTGTTGCTACTTTCCATATCATGACAAAGTAACTGATCTATTTTCAAAATAGGAAACAGTGTAAAACCTACACATAATCAATTTCATATTTTTTACTCTGAAAGAACTTCCATGTGTTCGTTTGTTTGACAGCAACGGGCTGGCTTTCTACTTGTCATGCTAAAGAGTCTTCCTCTTATTTATTTTCTTTCTCAAAGAAATGGAAGCAGCTTTCTCGACTACAGCGGAGTGTAATTCTCTTCCTGTTTGCCTTCTTGGCAGTCTGTGGAGTCATTTCATACACAAACATGGGGGAACAGTGGAAAAGTACGTCTTTCATACAGTTCAAGGTTGCCCTAATAAATGTCATAAATGGTTAAGATTGCTTGTTCTTAGTTTTTGTAATTACATTTTTACAAGGTGTGCTCAACGTCTGCCAGAAAAAAATATTTTATTCAGAAGTTTAGTTAATGTGACATACGTTTTATTGCAAATGTTCAGGTAGAAATTACCCTATCCATCCCTTTTTAAAAAATTTGAATAACAGTTGGTTCATTTTGGTTCTTTATCCTGAATATCTGAAGTGACATTTTGTTTTGGCTAATAATGAGTTTAGAGGCTGCAAACATCCTTAGTACTTAGTTTAAAAAATAAATAAAATAACAGCCCAAACCTAAAGACTTAGACGGTAAGATAAACAATTCTCTCTCCATTGTGATTATGCAGAAGGCTTGAACTCTTTAAGCACTTTTGGGAAACAGGACCAAGTTTACCTTCAACACTGTCTTCTTACAGCATTGAAAAGTTTTTGTTTGTTTGTTTTATTTTTTTTTAAATCAACAAAAAAAACCCCAATCTATTATTATGGAGGCTTGTAATTTAACACTTTCAGTTAGACATGTAAGATCTGTTGGCTTCTGTAGCATTTTTTTTTTTTGGCAAAGGTATCACTTGCATATAAAATACAGGTGACTACCATAGGGCTTGTCTACATTTGATGTGGGGAGAGTTATTTTTCCAGCTAGTGTCGAAACTGTTAATTCCTTATGCAAGGTAGTTTGATGTGTACTGAATGTATTTTATACATATAGGTCTAACGAACAAATCATCAGAAGATCAGAAGACAGAACTAGAGATCCCTGGATTGAAACCAGCAAATCCAGCTGTTTTACCAGCACCGCAGAAAGCAGATGCCAACTACCCGGAGCTTTCACCTCAGGTATTGCAAGGAAAAATGTTTGTCTTAACCCTACCTAATAGGGTTTGTGAAAGCTGCAAATAGCATTTAATTCCAATAGTCGTAATGGAAAAAGAAATGAAGGCCTGTTATAAGAATTAATTTCCTATGGGTAGAGAACTCAACTCTCAAGAAAGGCTTTGGTTCCAGTGAGGTGTGAAAACATTGTCTACTTTCTGGCTTTTGTTTGTATCCATAGACTTAAAGAGGAGAGAATAGCTCTGATTTCTGAGAACTCTCTTCTTAGCTCAGTCTGAAGGAGCTAGTCAGCTGTCTAATAGGAGCACTAATATATAATGAAAGCATTTGGGAGGTGGGGGTAAGGTATTTCTGGAATTCTCAATAGATATCATATGGGCTTTGTTTAATAGTGAACTTGTGTTCAGTATGTTTCCTAAACCACTGGTGTGCTTGTCACTGCTGATACTTCAGGCTTTTTGTGACCTGGTATTCTAGGCTCCATCTTACTATCTTGATGAATCTGCTTGTGCTTGGTCTAGGCCCAGGCATACCACCATTGCCTGCCTCCCATTCAGCAATATGTGCTCTAACCTGCTATGGAGTACTCCAAACCTCAGTCCTGGAAACGTGAGCAGCCCAGGCTCTGTGGCTGGCTAGAGTGTGTACAGTTGAATATGAGGCAGGGGATAGTCGGCATCTCTGGTAAACTGCAACAGCTTCCCAGAATAGGTGGAAATAATAATAAATCTAGTAGCTCTCTAACTCTGAGATACTCTGAAGGTGTGTGAAAGTTACTTATTTTATGGATACACTTCTAACGGATCATACAAACTGTCTGATTTCCAAGAAATTCATTGGGAGAGTAATAGGAAAAAGGAACTCTGTTTAAAGTGTGTGTGTGTCTCTACACACACTCTCCTGTTCACACAATTAGTTCAGGGAATTTAGGATTCTTTGTTTTAAATGAAAATGATCTCTCATGTGGTGCTTTCTTCTAATTTGTATAATGTACATCTACTATGAAAAATAATTCCTGGTATTGGATCACTTCTGCATTGCGTAAGCCCTTAGTAACGCATCTCTTTGTTATAACTAGTGTCAATTGTTGCACCTTGTTATATATATATATATATATATATATTTATGACAGTTTCACATTTTTGACAGTGCTGTGTGTTATAGATATACCTGGTAATGATACAGGTAGCCTAATATCCTCACTGGTAACTGTTACCCAAGGAGCTATGTACAATTTTACCAGAGATAAAAAATTCAAACATGATTTCCCTCCTCCTCGGCCTGTCTGGTTGAGATGAAAGGTTGCATGCTGTGACCTGTAGTCCCCTGCACTACATCTCTGTATTAAAAATGAGGGTATTCTCAGGTTGCATTGTACAACTCTGGGATGCTTTTGGACTGGATATTGGCCACCCATGCAGTAGATCATATGCATCTTGGTTTACTTTTGCCTTTCTTTCTTAGAAACATTCAAAGCCTCCTCATGTCCGACGTGGTCCTCCTAATCTGCAGATCAGACCGCCACGGAGAGATGCAAGGGTAAAGGCCCAAGATGTTGCTGGCAAGACTGAGGAAGAACCTGGCCAGGCTGATAAAGAAGAGAAAACAGAAAAGTCCATTATTAGGTAGGTAGAAATATTTCCAAGAATTTACAATTTGCTGGAGCAGTCTTCTAGTTTTGTTTTTATTCTCTCAGAAGCTATTGGGGGAAAAAGATGAATGTACAAATTTGTGAGGGCTTTTCATTGTCTGCCTAGAATGTTGTTTTACTTATATGCTTCTTTGGCCTTGCATAACAGCAGTGTGTTGATTTTTGCTAGATTGATTTGCTTGGTTATCTGAGTTTTTGGTGCCCAAAGGCACTACTCAGGGTTTGAGGCCCCATTAGACTAAGCACTGTACCAATGCACAGGTAGACACAGCCCTTTTCCTGAAGAATTTGTCTGTAGGATTATTTCACTCTATCAATTTGTTCTGTGTTAGATGTTAATACAATAGCACAATCATCATTATCTTAGTCCTGATGTACATTTGCAAATTGTATCGGCCTAACTGTCTGTCGGGGTGTGTGTGTAGGTTTTTGGGTTTTTTTAATCAGTGTAATTATGCATACTAACCTGTAGTATGGATTAATTTATACAAATATAAAGGTGCCTTATATTTGGAATAGCTTATTCCCCTACCCATATGGGAATAGCTATACTGGTATAAAGCACCTTTATACTGATATAAAGGCATCCATGCTAAGGAGCTTGTACTGCTTTAACCATGTTAACCAATATTGTGAAAGCGTTACAACTTTCTGGTGTATTAGTCATGGTGTTCACTTAATTTGGGAATAAGCAATAGCATTTGACTTCATTGTTCAATATAGAAAGAATAGTAAAAGTTGACCACAGATACCTATGGTATGTTTACACTAGATATAATTTCCTAAAATTTTTCTCACCCTTGCTGCCACTGGTGCAGCTCAGTTGGTAGTAGCAGTGGCACCTTGTCTGCAGTAGTGTTCTAGCCATCATATCATCTAAACCCTCTCACAGCGATTGTAGAATCTTATCTACCCAAGCGCTCCCAGCATTGCTACCACTGACTGGAGCGGTACTATTGGCAGCAATGATGGTAAATCTAGGAAAACTACTTCAGTGTAGGTCTGTAGTATGCTAGTAACAATGTCAATATTAATGCAGTAGTAGTAACTGGATCTATAAGGTCTATCTTTTTTTAACATACAAGCTTTGTGAGTTCTATAAACCATGCTTCTCTGTGGGTAGCTAAAGTTCATATTGAAATTGAGTTAATGTACAGGTACATAAAAGGACGTCGTCAAAACTGTTAACCCTCAACCTGAACCTTTTCTTGACTTTGGTACTATTTATAAGGTTTTACCTTCAGAAGTCTGTCTATATAATTCTTTTCCAAACTGACTTATGATGCCACTTTGGTGAGAAAAGCATGTAACAAAACAAGCATTTTACATTGCTGCTATCCTGTGTTCACAGTTGAATTCTTAATTCTCATTTGCATGATACTATTTTAATCAAGTGCGAGTGATTCATGCAATAATTTCAAATCTGGAAGACAACACCTGTAATATTTCAAATGCAGTGCTCTTTCACACATTTTGAGTTTGTATATTTCTGATTCCTTTAAGAAATTCCATTACAGCAGCAATGGTTTCATGGAATCCTAAAAGCCTTCATGTTTCTTAATTCAATTCAATAAAAGATTCATTACCATTTGCCTGGAAGAAATCACTGACTTCAAATAAAGATTAATGAGACAATAAGTGATCTTTTCCTATCTTGTGCCATGATCAAAATGTCATTTAGTTCCCTAAAAAACGAGGAGTCTGGTGGCACCTTAAATACTAACAGATTTATTTGGGCATAAGCTTTTGTGGGTTAAAAAAAACCAACCCACTTCTTCAGATGCATGGAATGAAAATTACAGATGCAGGCATAAATATACTGGCACATGAAGAGAAGGGAGATAACATTGGTTCTCCACTTGTAAGGTAACAAGGCCAATTCAGTCAGGGTGGATGTGGTCCACTTGACAGCTCCTCATCAATTATTGGGAGTGGACCACATCCACCCTGACTGAATTGGCCTTGTTAACATTGGTTCTCCACTTGTAAGGTATCTCCCTTCTCTTCATGTGTCAGAATATTTATGCCTGCATCTGTAATTTTCACTCCATGCATCTGAAGAAGTGGGTTGGTTGTTTTTTTTACCCACGAAAGCTTATGCCCAAATAAATCTTTTAGTCTTTAAGGTGTCACCGGACTCCTCGTTGTTCTTGTGGCTACAGACTAACATGGCTACCCCTCTGATATTTAGTTCCCTCTTTATCAGGCTGATGTGAAAATATGAAATGAACAATGTTTGACAGTAGAGATAAGGATAATTCATTTTAACTCTTGTCTCTATTTTAATCGAGTTAAATATTATTGAAATACCTTGTACTTGCAGTTGGAGAGGAGCAGTGATAGAACCTGACCAAAGCACTGAACCTCCTTCCAGTAAAATAAAGGAACCAGAAAAACCATCATCTGTGGAAGTGGAAGATCAGAAAGAGCCAGGTAATAGGCTAGAGACCAGCACCTTTCTCATTATTGACCATGAGATTTAGATGTTTATATCTCCCTGTTCACATTCACAGTCAAATATGCCATCCCTTTAATTAAATCTGCTATTTTTAGCTAAGATAGAGTTGCTTCCTGTGGGAAAGGGGAAGAACTGAATGAAAAGAGATTATGCATTGTTCATCTAGAACATCTAAGTCCTGCAGCATACTTGATCTGCTGTGACAACCTACAGGTGCATGTTTTTTCAAGGTTTCTGGTGATTCACAAATAATACTGAGAACTGAGAATATGAAAATACTGATGCACGAATATTGCATCAGATGTACTAGTTGTTACCATGGCACAGCATACATGGCTGTAATTGCCAGATCATGTATCGATAGACTGCATGCTATAGTTGCTGTCACTGTGCAGCTCACCCCTGCCTGCTTGCCACTCCCAAACGAAGTGTGTGGTTTTGCTTCTGATATATATTGGGTGCATGCATCTGTACCCTAACCTTGTCCTGGATACTGCGTGCAAACATTAGTAACGAAATGGAAGATTCAAAAACAAACCACAATAAACCATAAGCCCCAGAGTGATTTATTAAATTGAAAAAAGAACAGGAGTACTTGTGGCACCTTAGAGACTAACAAATTTATTAGAGCATAAGCTTTCGTGGGCTACAACCCACTTCTTCGGATGCATATAGAGTGAAACATATATTGAGGAGATATATATACACACACATACAGAGAGCATGAACAGGTGGGAGTTGTCTTACCAATTCTGAGAGGTCAATTAAGTAAGAGAAAAAAAACCTTTGAAGTGATAATCAAGATGGCTCATTTAAACTATACTTAGTTATCCTTAATGAAAGTGCTGTCTTTATTTCTGCAGCAGCAATGCCTCCTGTGTAAGTGGACAGCAGTGGAAACAGGATGGCCCTACACTAGGGAATGTTTTTGAGAGGCTCCTGGTTATTGGCTTCTCCTTTGCCTTGCCAGGAGATGACATCGTTGTGTTGGGGAGCACTATAGGCACCTGCCCTCAACCACTTTCCCTGCTCTGCAAAATGTACATTCCCCTTGCTTGGTGAAGCACTTGGTCCCTCCCATTTAAATATATCTTGCTACTGTTTTTTCCTCGTTTCCCAGTATGTGCATGCCTTCCTGCACAACCTTCCTCCCCTTATTTAAATTGGCTTCTTGCCTTTTTCTCCCTCCCTGAAATTGAGAAATAGGGGTGTCATTGAAAATAGGCAGCATGGCCTGATTTTTCTCTGCTCCACCTCCCAAAAGGAGAAGTGCCCTCCTGTTGGGGAAAAATAGCTGTTTAGAGAGATGGCTTGAAAAGGACAACTTTCTTTCTCAACAGTGGTTTGCTGGTCTCTTGGAGACTGGTCGGGGTGGGGTGGGGGGTGGGGGGAAGGAAGTGACTTCCTCCATTTAATTCATCACACACTGCTTTTGAGGATTACCAGGAATAGACAGCTGCAGCAGCTCTCTCTTCAGTTGCTCTCCCAGTGCAGCAAAGAATCTGGGAATCTGCTCTCTGATGAGCTAGTCGGAGGGAATTCTTGTTTATTGCAAAACCTGGGCTTTACCTGTAATAGCATGCAGTGCATTGGCATCCTGATGTCTAAGTGCCCTTAATATAGGTGGAACTGAGAGCAACACCTATTATGAAGGTTGCCAGACACTCCCATAATAAGACCCGTTCTTCAGTTGCTCATAACTTTTTGTCAGACTGTAACCACTTGGGCTGAAATTTTTCATACTGGGTGTCTGCCTCAGGCTGAATTGTTTTTGGAAAATTTCAACCAAAACTGTTCAGCTGTTTTCGAGATCAAGGCTAGGGAAAATAAGTTGTTTTGCTGATAAATTCTGATGGTCTTTTCTTTGAAAAGCTCTAGCACCCCCATGGTCTGGAGCAGGGACTTGAAATTGGGCAGTAGAGGAATGAGATAGGGATCTTGTGGTAAAAATATATGATCATGTAATTAAAACTGTATCATAATGCATACTCACAAGGGGACTGAATTAAGTTTGTACAGGCAACCTTAATTCTGGGATATCTTAAGTTAAAAATGCTTGACTTGGCAACCTTAATAATGTTCTTTTAACATTAACATAGTTTTTTGTGTGTATTTCTCTAAATATTATTTTTGGAGTTCTGTGTTAATGAGATTTCCATTGCTGACTCACTAAATCATTGGTTAAAAATATTGACCGCTTACTGCGGGTTGGAAAGACCCTATTACAAAGGAATAACTTCAGGTAACTGAAGCCAGTGTAATGTAATCTTTAGTTGCAGAGATGAGGGCTCTTGATTTTGGGTAGAGTTTGTGGAGAAGAGTCTCATGTGGCTGCATAACTCTGAGCTTCAGCATTCTTCAACAAGGTTGATTTCCATTCACAGTGCCCATAAATGAACGTCAGATGGCTGTGATAGAAGCATTCCGCCATGCATGGAAAGGTTATAAAGAGTTTGCTTGGGGACATGATGAACTGAAGCCTTTGTCCAAATCCTACAGCGAGTGGTTTGGACTCGGTCTTACATTAATTGATGCATTGGATACCATGTGGATTTTGGGCTTAAAAGAAGGTAATTTTCTTTCCTCTTCCTATGTTTCTCCCACCTCGGTACTTTTCTGGTTCCAACAGTTGCCATTAAGGCCAACTGATCATTTTATGCTTGGTGGCTGAGAGGCAAAATATTTTATTCCAATAGCTTTTGGGGATTCTCAGTATCTATTGAACTAATATGTTCAGAGCTCCTTAACATAGGCAATTGATTACACTTTGACTGAGCAAATTTCATTTTGTCTGTGGGGAAAATCCAAAAATTTACTATTAAGGGGGACACTTCTTTATTTTTAAGGTGTTCCTTCCAACTGCATCCGATATGTAAAAGCATTTGTGGAATAATTTTGCTGGCTATATCTATTGATGAATTGGCATTCCTGCTATAAATTGGGGACTGGATTATTAGGTCTGCCTGTGGTTGTTTCCGTACTAAAACAACCAGTGCCCCATGATGGTGCTATGGTTACTAAGATACTGGAGGTCAAGTATCAGGGGGTAGCCGTGTTAGTCTGTATCTACAAAAACAACAAGGAGTCTGGTGGCACCTTAAAGACTACCAGATTTATTTGGGCATAAGCTTTCGTGGGTAAAAACCTCACTTCTTCAGATGCATAGGTCTGCATCTGTAACTTTCACTCTATGCATCTGAAGAAGTGAGGTTTATACCCACGAAAGCTTATGCCCAAATAAATCTGATAGTCTTTAAGGTGCCACAGACTCCTTGTTGTTTTTGTAAGATACTGGAGGGGCCTTTCTAAGTCCCAGTCTTGCAAAGTCAGTCTGGGATCTTTTAGCTTGTGTATAATCACTGTTAATAAAGATATTCTACATATGGAACTTAGTCAACAATTCTGTATGTAAACCAGAAAATAATTCAGTGTTCTGTTGGATCTGCAATACTTAAAGGAATAAAGCTAATAACTTTTGTTTTTACTATAAGTATATAAGACACAGAATCCACACAGATCTGTTGATTAAGGCAGTGGTTTTCAAACTGTGGGTCGCAACTCAGTACTGGGTCCTGGCGTCTCTGGTCAGCACCACCAACCAGGCAATTAAAAGTCCCATCAGCTGTGCTGCCCAGCTAAGGCAGGCTAGTCCCTACCTGTTCTGACACCGCACTGTGCCCTGGAAGCAGCCAGCAGCAGGTCCAGCTCCTAGGCGGCGGGGCCACGGGGCTCCGCACGCTGCCCCCGCCCCAAGCACCGGTTCCGCACTCCCAATGGGAGCTGGGGAGGGAGGGGTCGGTGCCTGTGGGCACGAGCCGCTTGCGCATCTCCGCCTAGGAGCCGGACCTGTTGCTGTCCGCTTCCAGGGCGCAGCGCAGTCCGCGGTGCCAGGACAGGCAGGAAGCCTGCCTTAGCACCTGTGCTGCCCCACTGAACGGGAACTGCCTGAGGTAACCCTGTGCCCCAATCCCCTGCCTGAGCCCCCCAAACCTGGAGCCCCTTCCTGTACCCCAAACCCCTCATCCCTGGTCCCACCCCAAAGCCTACACCCCCAGCCCAGCCCTGACCCCTTCCCACACTCCTGCCCCAGCCCAGAGCCCCCTCCCACACCCTGAACCCCTCATTCCCAGCCCTGAGCCCCTCTCACACCCCAAACCCCTCATCCCCAGCTCCATTAGGTCATGGGCATCAACAATTTTCTTCAACTGGGTCACCGGAAAAAAAGTTTGAAAACCACTGGATTAAGGCAGTGCTATTTTTATTCACTTTTCTGACTTTAACCACACTTTAACGCTGGTAAGCAAGCCACATTTTTACTTGCTTAATTACGTATTGTCTAGCAAAATTCTCTCCTAAATTTAATAGGATACAGTACTCATCACTTCCTGTCCCAAACTGTTGTATACTCTCTGTTCACTGTATGGCAGGTATCCTAATTCACTGCAGAAGTGGCTGTGTTTTGGTACTGGGTTTTAAAACCTCAGTTTCATTTTTTTTGTTTTTAAGCTACTGCCTTACATGACTACAGAAAAAAAAAATCACTTAATCGGGACATGTAAGTTAAACAAGGAAACTACAAAGCAGTATTTACAAATACCTGAAAATGTCTCCATTGATGTGCTTTGAACAGCTGTGGCATCTGTGGAGACAGCCACCTTTATAATAATTCCACAACAAACACAGTTTGACATGTATCAAGACTGGAAGATCAGATCTGCCGCTAACGGCATAAGAAACTGCAGAAGTCTTCCACAGTTCTATATTTTCTTTACGTGTTTGATTTAATGCGTACAATTTAAAATCAATCACAAAACCCACTGTGGAAAATCTCTTGTGTCTCTCACTGCATGTCTGAGCTCTCTTGATGTTTCATCAGGTTGACAGTGTGACTGCGTTCTTATAAAATATTTAAATATGAACTGCAGAGTGCTTTTAAAATAAATTATTAGTGATTTAGACATGTTTAAAATGGACATCTGATTAGAAACTTTTATATTCTATCGCAGTTCTCCTTTAAGTGATTGCTTCATAGTCTGTAAAGCTCTTGGGATTCTTCAGGATAAAAAAAGCTCTATAAATGAAAGTTGTGTTATAGTGTGAAAATCTTTCTCTCATGAGTCAGTTTTTATATTCACAGCTTCTGTAAGAAAATTCTGGATTTCTCTATTGCTAGACAGTGATAAGTCTGACAGCACAATTTACTGAAGTGGAATGTAGAAAACCTATTTTGTCATCCTTATTTAAGGCCTGTGTAAAAGAATGTATTTGTAAACAGTGATTTTCTCACAAGGGAGACGGATCTGTGGTAGGTAGATCTTGGTGAGCTATCCTAGTGATAGTTTAACATCCAGAAGTCTCAGTGGAAGGGCATTAGTTTCTAACCTTTGCATTCTGTGTCCAAATAGATAATTGCATAGATAATTGGCAACATTTTAAAGAAGCAACTTTGTTTTCCCCAGTACAAGTTCCTGGTAGTCCTAGATGCCTGGTGTCCTGAAAACTTAGAGATCTTGTGGTTAAAACATTAGCATGGGACTCAACAGACGTCTGTTCAATTCCCAGCTCTGCCACAAACTTCCTGTTTGACCTTGGGCACGTCACTTAATCCCTCCTTATCTCAGCACCTAATCTGAAAAATGGGGAATAATATTTCCTACTTCATAAGGCTGTTGTGAGGATAGTCATTAATTATGGTGAAGTAATGCAAGGCCATATATATACGTAGATAGTATGTTGGGAAGCTGACAGGCAGTAGCTTTGATTTAAGTAGCCTTAAAAAAAAGTCTTATGGTGAGAGTGTGACTGATTGTCATGGCCAGTAAAATAGGTGGTAATAGACTGCAGGCTTATATTGAGAGAGGTAGGTTATTGGGATACCAGGATAATTCCTGTTTGCATTATTTTAATAAAGAAGTAATGTGCTTTTACAAGACCTGCTAAACATGTAATTTCTCTGCCAAGTACTTGTCTCCTTGCATATCCCCACATTGTTGTATTGCATAGGAATTAAACTGATGCCAGGTTTGTGTTCTTCAGTGTATTTGTAATCTCTTCAGCTTGCCCCTTAAAAATACAGGTTCCTTTTGATAGACTGAATAAGAATCAAGGCAGTATGGCATACTAACTCTTAATCTGGTCATTTGAGTGTGCTGTTATAACTACAGTGTGTTTCCTCCAAAAGTTGTTCCCTTTTGTGCCTTGCAGAGTTTGAAGAAGCAAAGAAATGGGTGGCAACTGACTTACTGCTTGATAAGAATGTGGATGTGAACCTCTTTGAGAGCACCATTCGTATTCTGGGGGGTTTGCTGAGCGCCTACCACTTATCTGGAGATAGCCTCTTCCTGGAAAAAGCTGTAAGTGATTGAGTCTCACAGTCCCAGGTAGAATGTGTGTCTTGTGTTGGGTAAAGTGGCAGAAAGGTTCATCAGAAAGTAAACTCGGCCACACTTTTTCTCTGTATTCCACCATTACTGCCCTAGAGGCTTCTTGAATGTTTTCCTCATCTTTGCCTTCCTGGTGTCATCAGAGCTCTAATTACCTTAGGGTTCCATTTTAATTAGAATTTCCCTTAATTCCTAATGTAAAGACTAAGATGATACATTTAAGGATCTTTATTATATTTTTACCCAGTTAATTTTTTTTTATGGGAAGAAAGTCCTAGTCAATGAATGGAGCGGTTACACGCAGGTTCCCTGTCTTGGGAAATACAGTGGTATTCTCCTTCCCCTCCCAAGTGCCGGGACAAAGGCCCTGTGCTTGCATTAAGGATTATCCATAATCTCAGATTGAAAACGTGTTACATGTGATGTGCAGAATGAACTGTAGTGTACAGCAACGGGAACTAGGTAGAAGCTATATGCCAATTACTGTGAAGTAGTGATTCTTCTTAATATTTGCCTTTGTTCCTCGTAGATGGGCTAAAACTAAGCTGCAGTTCTTTTTCCTGTTTTTTGTTTGATTGCTGAGAGAAATAATAAAGAATTTTTGTTCCATGCTTTTGGGTTCTCTTTAGAAAGACATTGGGAGCAGGCTTATGCCAGCATTCAACACACCATCCAAGATACCATACTCAGATGTAAACATTGGCCGAGGCACTGCCCACCCACCTCGTTGGACGTCTGACAGCACCGTGGCAGAGGTGACCAGTATTCAACTGGAGTTTAGGGAGCTCTCTCGTCTCACTGGAGATGAGAAATTCCAGGTATGGGAGAACCAGTTGTCATCTTCTCTTCCTCTCAGCCTCCACCCCATTATTGGTGAGGCTCACTTAGATTGCCTGTACTCTTTTCTCCTTCCGTTCTTCTAACAGAGATCAAAAATATTTCTCACTGTGGCAGCTGGAGCAGATTTCATTGGTTGATGAAAGTAAATGCCATTGCGTTGCTGATCCACCTCCTAACAAACACCATCTCTAAAACATCTTATCTGGAGCAATTGTATGCCTAATCACGCCATACACATCACTATTTCTGAGTAGTCACTCCATCTTTCAGTTTACTGGTGAATTCCTGGTTCTTATAATCTCACAGCTAAAGAGAGTTAAATGACATATCCAAAGGGAAGCAGCTGGCGGGGCAGGGGGGGAAGAGTCCATTACTTTTCCAGTTATTTTTTTAAAGTAAATACCACAAAGCTCATAGTAGAGGTGAATAATTGCTCCTTTCATCAGAAGGAACTTACAAGAAAAATCTTTGTTTTTGATATGCTTGTGGTATCTTTTGTGTTGTCTGAGACTAGATTACCTATAACTGGCTTTTTGAAACACCAGACTATAGATAAACTATATAGAGCTGTCCTCTTAGTATTTAAATTCTGTAGGAGGTGCTTAGTTATCCCTACATTAATGCTAGTGTTGAAAGCAACTAAACTCCCTTCGTAAGCTGCAGGGTGCTTATCAGCTGACTCAAATTCCAGTTATGGGCATGGTGTGAAGGTTGTATCTGGGAGAAAATAAGCCAAAGTACTAACAGTGTCAAAGGCAGTGGGAGATGTATTCTTTTTGTTTTGGAGGTGATTTTTGTATAGTGCCCCAAATCAACTTCTACATAAGGCCCTACTTCATTCTCAATATAGTGGGTTCCCCCAAAAGTAGGCTTCCACTGCAATTTTGATTTTTTAATTAGCTTACTTTGCACAATCCACAATTTCACATACATTTTGAGTATGCAATTAGTACTGCACTAACATTCAATGCCTGTAAAAGGGTAAAGTGACTGGACTTGATTTCTACAGCAGCTGTGTTAAGACTTTGTCTTTTGAATTTTATATTGTACCAGTCACATTTTTTTTTTTTTTAAATGCATGTAAGATAGTTGCAGCAAAATGTCTGGTTATCAAAAAAATTAGCAGGCATAACATAATACTTGAGTGTTTATATCATTCCTGCACATTTTTCTTATACACATTCTGGCTTTTCCAAATCACTGCTGTTAATGAAGGTCCATTATTACTTTTCTGCAATTTTTTTTCCATGTCTTGTCCGCAACTCCTCTGCAATTATTTGAAGATCATCCAACAATTCAAGTAGGGCCTTATTTATACAGTTATTTGCAGGAACTATAGCGGTACATTATGTATGTGCAGTGGTCCTTAGCTATACTTGTGTCATGAAAATCTCAGTAAAAAAAAAAAAAGTTGGCATCATTACCAACTTGAGTTGAGCTATAGTATTATTGAGAAATATTTCTGAGCTTCACTGATCTCCTCCAGAACAGACACTGTTGAAGGTGTTGCAGGCCACTTAACCTGACGTTAGAGTTAACCTAATGTTCTGTCAGTCGGTGTTTGAATCTGACTTCTAAACGACTGAGGGACCTGGACTCACCACCATCACTGATTCTAGCTTGAGAGAGTTGTATTCTTGAAAAGGAAAGCTGATAAAAAATCTCTAACTATTCCCACCTCAGATTTCCTGTAGTTTCTCTGAAGCCATAAGCAGCGACTGTATTGGAAAAGGGAAAAAATCCCACAACTGTTGACTGCTCCAGGCCATTTAAGTAACATTGAGCTGTGTAGTTGCATTGTCTCATTCAAGGTGTATTTTTTTCAATGTGTTTTTTTTTTCTGTAGAAAGCAGTAGATGCGGTGATGAAGCATGTACACTCTCTCTCAGGGAAGAATGATGGGCTGGTGCCCATGTTCATAAACACCAACAGTGGGCAGTTCACTCACCTGGGTGTCTACACTCTGGGAGCCAGAGCTGACAGCTACTATGAATATTTGCTCAAGCAATGGATCCAGGGTGGGAAGAAAGAAAATGAGTAAGTTCTCCCCGCTTCCTGTGTCAGTTTAAGAATGATGTAAGCTATAAGACTTGCTACCCTAGTTGGCGGGTTAGAAGGAAGAGTATATTATGCAGACTCTGATATGAGCGTATTTGTGAGTAGTTTAAAAAAAAAAACCCAACAACAAACAAGCTGGGTCAGCAGACTTATTGGTAACTGCATAACAATGTGGGGATCAGACTTCAATTTGCAACTCTGCTTCCCCCCTACACAGGGTGTTGAGGGTTGTGATTGTTACAGATGTGGGAGGGATTTAAATTGTTTGCAGCAGGTTCTGTTGTGTAAATAAAATGTTGTTGCTCTGTAGGACACATCACTTTTATTCTCTCTGAAAGTGGCAAGGAATTTTGCAGGCTCTGTTAGAGAGGGATTAGTGAGGAACCTGCTGGAGGGCAGGTACCACATTCGTGATTATCCCTTTTCTAGTCCAGATACAGGACTTAAATTTGAATCCGGTGCCTTGGATTCCAGTGTGTTTCTCTTGTCTGGCCTGAATAACTGGGAAGCACCTTGTTTTGGGATGAGAGGGGTTTGAAAGGGTTTGTGGGACTAGGGAGGTGTTATTGTGGGAAAGAAAGGCACTCTCTCTCTCTTGCACCCACCCTTGAATATTAACCTTACATAAGAACGGCCATACTGGGTCAGACCAAAGATCCATCTAGCCCAGTATCCTGCCTTCCGACAGTGGCCAATGGCTGGTGCCCCAGAGGGAATGAACAGAACAGGTAATCATCAAGTGATCCATCCCCTGTCGCCCATTCCCAGCTTCTGGCAAACAAAGGCTAGGGACACCTTGCCTCTAGAGGGTGTCCTGCAGATAAGGGTTGAGGAATATCTTTAGGGAAAACTTGCATGACTTCTGCCAGTGCTGTACCTGTTGTGTAGATGCAGAACTTCAGTCTCAATTGGTTCTGAATCCAGCACCTTTCACAAGCATTAAAATTCACAGAGCACATCTTTACTTTTAAAAATTGTTTTAATTATCATGCTATTCTCAGAAATGTGTTTTTCTCCTATACACGCTTGAAAGAAGCTAAAGATTATTAGATATATTGGAGATACATGCTAGATGCATTTTGTATAAGCATGATTACTTGGATTTTTCTTAATGCTTTATATTTGACTAAATATCTTAAGTAGTGCCATTGAAATCAAATTGCAAGTTTCTACTCTACAAAAAGTGTGGCCTTTGAGATGCATGTACTGTATCTAAAGTATGGTTGGATAAATCTACTTTAAAATGTGTATATTTGGGCCAACTGGGAATGGTTTTAATTCACAGACTGTTGGAAGATTACATGAGAGCTATAGAAGGGGTGAAAAAGCATTTACTTCGGACGTCACAACCCAAGAAGCTTACTTTTGTAGGTGAACTTGCTCACGGCCATTTCAGTGCCAAGATGGTAAGCACTGTACCTGATTTTTTTCAGTGGCTCTTATGAATACTGTTGCATTCCCCCTGAGCTGTCTGCAGTTTTGTAGGGGAGAGATCTTGAGTGCGGTAGTTATAATAGCTATTTGATCAAATGTGTATTCTATGTGTGTGTGAAGCAAAGGTTTTGATAGTGGCTGCTGGAAGGTCTAAAAAATGAAAACTGGCAGGGACCCTTGCAATCTGCAGTTGCCTTGTGCATTTAGATTACACCAGTGGTTCCCAAACTGGGGTTTGCAAAATGTTACAGGGGGTTCTTGGGGGAAAAAATACCCTAATGGCGGACAGAGCTGTCCCTCGGGACTTCGGGCAGCACAGGACCAGCAGCCCGGAGTCCCGGGGACTTCCAAGAGCTATGCAGATCAAAGCAAGCATATCCATCACACTGAGGAGATTTAAACTTCAAGACTCCTTATAAGACATGGAAAGGGAGGTGGATATTTTCTGCTGTTTTTAAAATTAAATAGGCTGCTAGTGTTGTTTTTAAAATTATTATGAAGAACAAGTTTAAGTTTTGTTTGTTTGCCTGGATGGCTCAAGACCCGAATGCTTGTGTAGGAGGAACTCTGTATTTGAGCTGGCTTCTTAAATACCTTCATGCTGTATCACATCTGATACTCCTTGATTAAACATAGGAGCCTTGTCTTATAACAGGCTTAATCAAAGCGATACAAGCTGCGAAAGTGAGATGTTGGAAGAGTTTTGCCGTTTTCATAATGTAATAAAATTAACACTGTAATGATAAATAATAAATAATAAACAGTGTGTAATAAGCATGTAATTAAAAAATTATATTTCCAAGAACACTGCTTTTATAATTTATGCTCAGGTAAGGGAGAAAATCCCTAGACATATTCATTTTTAGGAGGGGGTTCGCGAGACTTGACATTTTAGTGAAAGGGGTTCATGGGTTGTTAAAGTTTGGGGACCACTGGATAACACTATGATAGCCTGTGAAGGGTGGTGGTTTTGTTTGTCTTTCTGTTTGTTCTCTGGGCAGGTTCTATCTTAGTTTAAAAGAATGCTGGGTTCAGGTCACTAGTGACAGTATTGAGTAGCTAGGTTACAGGTAACAGTCCCTGCTGTGGACAGAGGCCCTTTCTTTGGTTTTTATTTGCTGATCTGAATCTCCCTGTGAGTTTCCACTTGTGCTTCTGCAGTAGAAAACACATTCAGTGCAATCATTTGTTACATCATTTCAGCATTTGAAACTCTGAGATAGTGCCTATTTTGTGTATTATTCACTTTTTCTACAATTCAAAAATACAAGGAAGTAAATGATCTAATTAGTAGTTAAGGCATGAGTGTGGAAATCAGGTGATTTGGAAGTTCTGGTATTGGCTCTGCCACAAACCTACTGTGTGACCTTGGGCAAATTACTCCATCTCGTTTCCTGCCTTTTAGGTGGCAAATACTTGATGCAAGTATTACTGAGTGAAATTATGTGCCTGTATTATACCAGAAGTCAGATTAGATTATCATAATGAACCTTTCTGGCTTTAAAATCTATGAATTAACACTCCTTTTGAAAAGTACTTGGAGTGCTTTCTGTGTAAGACAGTATATAAATGAAAGTGACAAACAGTTGTAAGTGAGCAGTGCATTACTAATGTATGTGTAAATCTGCCCCCTTAACACTGTATGTATGAGTACATTTAATTCAGTCCCTGCAGGGCAGAGACTTTTACAGCATTTCATTTATCATCTCTGCTTGAAGGGTACGGCTGGAACCTCACCAAACCTGACTAGTTGAAAAGATGTTAATGCTGTTACTTCAGTCTCTCTACACTGATATTACCATCAGTATTGACCACTGCCTGTTGAATTGGACGGGGATCTTGAGAGCTTTGTACAGAGGTTCTCTATGAGCACTGTGAGATTGGCAGGTGGTGGCAGTGGGTGTCTGATAACCCCTTTAGGATTTTGGAATGGTAGAAATGAACAAAACTCCAAATTTAATATGTAATCCTGTTGTTCACAATATCAGTAGGGCATTAGTCTTACTGGAAGGGACTGTTAATCTTACTGTAAACTGAATTTCAGTGGAGGTGAGTACTGAGAATTGTATATGACATAGGTTCCCAACTTGTTTGTGTACAGTCTTTGTTGACTGTTGAATTATTCATGTAATATTTCACAGTATTCTCAGAATGATAATCCCATGTAACTCAGTTGTTTGAGAGTGTTGCACAATCCTTGCGGTAATACCTATACTTCTGTTCCTTGAATAAATAACTGAATAATAAAGCTGTAGTGTGTACAATTCATGAAGGGAAGATTCTTGTAACCCTTTCGCTCCTGCTGCTGCCTCTATGCAGGAATAAAATCCAGTGTTGTTCTGTGGAATGTTGGCTGTACCAAGGAGATGAGCCTGATATACAGAGGAATACTCAGGATGCCTGACTTAAAGTATCAGGTGTTTCTGACACTCAAATGGATAATAACAAAAAAATTAAAAGTTCTAGTGGTAAGAAGGATGTTCAACTTTACCCCTTGCTCTGTTATATTCATATTAATCTATATTTATCAGAATAATCTGTATTTAAACTTCAAATACTTCCCCAAAACCTGTTACCCTTGGTTTCTATGGCTAATTTCTATTTTGCCTTTTGTTTTACTTCAGTCTCTGCTTCAAAATATCAGAGCTCATGAAATTTGCTTTCTGTTCATAGTTTTTATCTTAACCCCTCATCCTTCTCTTCTCTATCATTTTCTTTTGTCTACTTTTTGTGTTTGAGCAGTTTAGCTTTTAACCTGTCTGGACCATTTAAAATGTTTAAAATGCACCATGAAAAGTTAGGGTGCTATATAAATATTAGAGACACTATCAAATTGAGTTTTTTTTTTCAAATTGACACTTTCTGATAGAACCCTCTTGAAATGCTATCTCCTGAATTCTTTTAAAACTAATTTTGTAAGGTTTTTTTTGGTTCCCCTCTTGATTGATTTTAAAGGTCATTCAGTTTCTCCCTTACTAATCGCAGTACAGGGTAACAAAGAAACTGACTTTACACAAAGTGTTACGAAATGCAGCAGGCTGGTAAACTGAACAAGATGAGAATTTTTTTCCACTAGCTTCTTTTGGTTTTAGTAATTTAAAGTGTTATAAGTATCAACAGTAGTTACAAAAACTTGTGACTTCAAGTTGACAGTGAGTCTCCTTTAGTAATGGCGCCAGCCTCATGTCATGTTACATTTCTGCTTAACAAATAACTGTGGTCTTTAAGCGCTCTATATCCTTATTGTACTGCTACAGGGTAAGTCAAAGTCTTGTTTGTTTTAATACTTCTCACAGTGGATGGTGCTTTTGTCTTGCAGGATCATCTAGTTTGCTTCTTACCTGGGACACTGGCTCTTGGAGCTCACAATGGGCTGACTGCTGATCACATGGAGCTGGCCAAAGCCCTCATAGAAACTTGTTACCAGATGTATGTTCAGGTAGAGACAGGCCTGAGCCCAGAGATTGTACACTTCAATCTCCATGCACAAAAGGACCGCAAGGATGTGGAGATCAAGGTAAACAGCCCTACAAGTATCACTACAAATTGACATCTGTGTATCTCTTGATTGGATAGCTCTGTGCACATATCACATTGTTTCTATGAAAATCTCAATAGAATCTCTACACCTGGGGAAGGATGCTCTTTGTTTTGATGGGTAAACTTCCTCTCTGTCTCTCCTCGGGCAAACACTCCCTAGGCTTGACACTTTTGAATGATCTCTTAACATTCACAAGCTGACTTGCATATAAGTATTTGAGGCATGTGTGAGTGGTGGAGGAGAATTGAACACGTAGGGTTGGATGGGACCTTGAGAAGTCAAGTCCAGCCCCCTGTGCTGAGGCTGGGCCAAGTGAAACTAGACCATCCCTGACAGGTGTTTGTCCCACCTGTTCTTTAAAACCTCCCATGATGGGGATTCCACAACCTCCCTTGGAAACCTATTCCAGAGCTTAACTACCCTTATAGTTAAAAAGTTTCTCCTAATATCTAACGTAAATATCCTTTGCTGCAGATTAAGCCCATTATTTCTTATCCTACCTTGAGTGAACATGGAGAACAATTGATCACAGTTCTCTTTATGACAGCCCTTAACATATTTGAAGACAGCCATTAGGTCCTGCCTCAGTCATCTTTTCTCAAGACTAAACATGCCCAGTTTTTTTTAACCTTTCCTCATAGGTCACATTTTTTTAAACCTTTTATTGTTTTTGTTGCTCTACTCTGGACACACTCACTCTCTCTTCAGTTTACCCACATCTTTCCTAAAGTGTGGCGCTGAGAACTGGACACAGTACTCTAGCTGAAGCCTCACCAATGCTGAGTAGAGTGGGACAGTTACCTCCTCTCTCTTATATAAGACACTCCTTTTTTGCAACTGCATTACACTGCTGACTGATAGTCAATTTGTGATCCACTATAACTCCTGGATCCTTTTCAGCAATATTACTACCTACCCGGTTATTCTCCCATTTTGTAGTAGGTACCAAAGAAGCTACAGGGTACAGTCAAATTGCTCTCTGCTAATGTATCCTGCTCCCTGACTGAATTATGATCTTCACTTTTTTGCAGCCTGCAGATAGGCACAACCTGCTGCGACCTGAAACTGTGGAAAGCCTGTTCTACCTGTACAGATTCACGGGGGATAAGAAATACCAAGACTGGGGCTGGGAGATCTTGCAGAACTTCAATAAGTATACACGGGTAAGGCCAGCATGCTGAACAGTAATGATCTCAGGAGTGTATCTAGGCAAAGTGTTCTGCGTATAGGGACTTTCAAAGTAAAGCTGAAATTGCTCATCTTCCAAGAATCATAAAAATATCTAATAGGTAAAACAAAGCATTAAGAGCTTGACAGAGTATTACAGTATGTACTGTGCCTTGAAGCCTATGTACTTAGGCTTATGCATTTAGTACTTAGCACATTAAGGAAAAAGACTTTTCATCATATTGATAAAAGCTATATATTAAGAGAATTATGATGAGGGCAGACTTTCTAAATTGCCGGGATGGATTGTCAGCAGGACAAAAATGCTGACCTATATCCAAACAAGTTTTGTTTTGTTTGTTTTCAAGTGGGTCTCAGCATTACTTTTAGCAATTTCAGATATAGTTTCTAAGGGGCTAGGATTTTCTAGTGCAAAATACCAATACAAAAACCTTCATGGTAACTCACTGACTTCAAAGCATCAATTGCTTTAACTGCCAAGATACTTTAATGGATACCTGTGAATATGTATCCATTGTCTGTTAAATCAGGGGTTCTCAACCTTTTTCTTTCTGAGACCTCCCCCCCAACATGCTATAAAAACTCCAGGGCCCAGTGGGGTGTGGGGAAGCTGGAGCTCTGGCCTCCACGCATAGTTTGACTTCTATTTTTTTTTTGGCGTGGGGGGAGCGGCAGTGGGGCTCGGGCCAGTGCCACACAGCAGGGCCCAAGGAGGGAGTGCTCCCTCCACCCCCTTACTCACCTCAGCAGGCCACCCAGCCTGTCTGGGTTATGGGGGGAGGAGGGGTGCGGCATGGGGCGCAACCACAAATTATAACTCAAAGGGGGCAGGGGGTTCAGCTCTAAAAGTATGAAAACTGCTCAGGGTGCAGGGAGAAGGGTAGCGAGGGACTGTGTGCAGACAAGGGCTGCAGGGAGAGGGGTAGCTAGGGGCTGTGTGTGGGGAGGGCCTTCCTCCGCGGTCGCTGCTCCCCGAGGGCTCTGCTGGCCCCAGAGCTGGGTCCCCCTGCTGAGGTGGCTCTTACTGTCTGCATGAGCCGTCAAAGGGGGCTGGGAGCTGAGGAGCAGCTGCAACCCCAGGTACCAGCAGGAGGAGATGGAGGAACGCTGCCCTCTCTGTGGCACCAGCCAGAGCAGCAGCTGCCCCACTCTGCCTGGCTCCGGCTTCTGACCTGGCCACAGGTCGGGGCTTCACGGGAGTTGGGGGAGAGGAAGTGGGTGGGGGGTGGAGCTGTCCCCAGGACTGCCCTACTCTGGATAAGGCACTACAGTTTGGGCTGGGGGGGAAGAGCCTCTTTTGTTCCCCCAACTCTGCCCCTGTGCTCGGGGCTTCAGCCCCACAGCGGGGTATTGGGGTTCAGGGCTTCAGCTGTGGGCCCCACAGCCCCCATGGGGGCTACAGATCCCCCCAGTTTAGAACTGCTGTGTTAAATGATTAGATTGTATAACTGAGTTGTGATGTTGGTGAAAGAATGTGTTTCATAAATGGGATGTCACTCCCATAAAATTTACCTTTTAACAAAGATAATTTGAGAAATGAATTTTAGTCCAGCAAAGTTTCACTGATCCTTCCTTGAAACCATCCAGTTTCTGCTGTGATCGTGTCAGATCTCACAAACTAAGCAAGATCTGGCTGCTGGGATGGTACAATAGTTGGGTGGAAGGTTTCAAAGGAAAAAAGAGAGTGCTGCAGGAGGTCGTGTTAATGCCTCAGTAGGGGCATTCTTCCCTTTGGGTATGTCTTCACTACCGGCCGGATCGGCGGGCAGCGGTTGATCCAGTGGGGATCAATTTATCGTGTCTTGTCTAGACGCTATAAATTGATCCCAAGCGCTCTCCCGTGGACTCCTGTACTCCAGCTCGGCGAGGGCAGGCGGAGTTAATGGAGGAGTGGCAAGAGTCGACTCACCGGAGTGAAGACACCACGGAAAGTCGATCTAAGTACGTCGACTTCAGCTACGTTACTCACATAGCTGAAGTTGTGTAACTTAGATCGATTTCTCCCCCGCCCCAGTGTAGACCAGGCCTTTGTGTTTGTGTTGAGCCAATGCCCCAGCATAACCGTAGAGGAGCACTGTGTTTCTAGAAGTAGCTTTTGGATGAGCTATACAATTATGGTCCAGACTGCTTCGGGCCATGGGATCTTTCATGACCATTTCTCAAGAGTAGAGGTATTAAGCCTGTTGTCCTGACCAATTTCAACCTGGGTAATTACAGTAATTGCCTCAAATTTCTTCTGCAGTTTTGATGGGACATTGTCCTCTTCACTTGTCTTGTAGCATTTCTTTCTGCTGTTAAACATGCAACATTTCACAGTGATGTGGCTTCATTTTACTGTATGTAGTTTGTGTATCAGTTTGTAAAGTGTTTTGTAATGCTTCAGAATTGAAATTCTTTATGTAAGTTGCAAAATATTATTTTGAAAGCTTTGCCTGCTTTTCTAATGTTTATTTTCATCTTTTTTTTAATCAAAATTGGGAGTTTGTAGATAACACAAGTTCTTTTTGGCTTATAGAAATATATAAAAATTGTTAATTGTCTTTTGCACAGGTTCCTTCAGGTGGTTACACTTCCATTAACAACGTCCAGAACCCCAGTAACCCAGAGCCAAGAGATAAGATGGAAAGCTTCTTTCTTGGGGAAACACTCAAGTATATGTTTCTGCTGTTTTCGGATGACGTAGACCTAATCAACCTTGACAAATATGTATTTAACACAGAAGCTCACCCCCTTTCTATCTGGGCACCAGCATAGAAGTACTATGTGAACCTTCGGCAGCGGGCTGTTACTTTGAGTCACTTTACTGTGCAGGGTTTGAACTGGGATAGCAGAGAATTGCTCTATTTACCCTTTCTTGGTTTTTAAAAAAATTGGAAAAACATCTCTGATTTAGAGAAATCTGTCAGTCTTAAATCTAACTCTGTGCTTTAGCTCGGGGATGGACAACCTGAGCACACTATACTGCTTTGCCTGGATTTGATGCAGACATCAGGGTTGGGGAAGCAATTGCAGTGTGAACCCTGATGTTAATAGGTCTCTGAGCAACCAGTGACTCACTCATGCCATTCTTTGTAAATTTTGGTTACATTTCAGGACAGCAGCAAGTTGTCTTATAGCACAGGATTGTCTCTGGAGAGAAGGATGTACTGAAAAGTTTGACTCCAGCTCATTCCATGGTATGAGCCTGTAATATCTCCATATGGTATGTGGGGTAGACAGAGACCTGTACCATTGTCCCAGTAAAAATGGGGATGTCAGTAATATTGCTGACACTTTGATCTCATTCCAAATCAATGAGCTGTGCAGCATTATGTTTGAAGAGAAGTTATGTTACAAAAACATCTATAGTACAGCATCTGAATTTTATTGAGCTGTGTCTAAAATGAATGAATGGTGGCAAATTGAGTACAGAACTTGCTGCTGATTTAGCTCAAAGTGATATACAATTTTGTAGATGTATGGCAATTTTTTTAACTTATCTGCAGGAATGCAGGAGACAATGTGAAAAGCAAACAATATACATACATGCATTTATATATATATATTTGCATCAGTTAGTCTCAGGTATTCTGACTGAAAGCTGCTTTGCGAGGTTGAGCTACCGAAAAGCTGGTGAGCACATTAGGTGTAATTCAAACTCAACTTTCTCAGATCTTGGATTTTAAAAATGTTATGTTGGATCAGTGAGGCTTATTGTTGTGCAGAGTAATTCCTACTATTTGTCTTACTATGGATTAACAAGGAGGGGTTTTCAATTCTTTTTTCTTCTTTGAAGTACCTTGCTTGAAAGTGTTATGTTCCCCTGTAGAATTAAATACAGATGGTCTGAGGGTCTTCTGACATGGATTCAGAATGTGGTCCTACTGAAAGGGTCTCCCCTCTAATACTGCCAGTAGACTTGCTGAGAGCTGTTTGGGTGCTTTGAGGAGAAAATAGACCTAGTGTTTATGTATAAAAGTATCTTCTGTGAACCTAGGGAGTCTTGCATTTTTATTTCTGGAAATGAGTTTCAAAAGTAAAATGAAAGAAATGTTTGAAAGAAACATGAATTTTGAAAGTAGCTAACTTATGCAGTCCTGTGAACACCAATAAGTTGTGGGAGAAAAGTGCTAGTTCACTTATATTTTAGGGTCTCTCTTCTTGTCATAGTTTCCATTCCCATAGGTCTCATTAATGAGAAGACAGGTTACAGGTACGTGTGTAGGCACAATCCACTCTAATTTTGGGGCTGAGAAATAGTGGTAATATAAAGCTGACCCATTGCAATTCAGTTATGGATTTAACAGTAAATGTAACTTTCTGTTTTGTAAAGTAGCCAATGTCTTTATAACTTGTCTTGCCAGACCTGGTCTTGCTGGAGTAGGACATTACTATTTGGACCACTTTTTAAATCTTTAGGCAGTACTTATCATTCCTTGATAATGGCACATGGAAATGAAGAAACAATTACTGCAAATTATATTTCTACATATATATGTGTAATATATATATATATATAGAGAGAGAGAGAGATACCCTTTTTTTAAGTTTGTTGATGCTGGGAGTTGGGCATTTGCTGATATGACAGGTTAATGCAGAATGAGGTGATCCACAAATTCAAGAATTTTAGTAATCTTGGAATTCACAAGGTCTCCCCCTTAAGTGCACATTGGAATTTAGAAGCCATACCCTAAAGCTGAATAGTTGTTTTGTTGCTTGATTTTTACATGGTTCATAAGAATTCCAGAGTGTCTTGGTTGTATTTAAGGGGGCTTAAGAGTTAATTTTCAGGAGATGAATATACACCCTAGTGCAGAGAGCATATGCAAGGTTCTATGTATCACTTAAGCCCTGTATTAAGATCATAAAGTGCAGTTGCACTCTTAGAAGCATTTGACTCTGCAAAAATGGCACTGTAGGGTTCCATGTGTATTGTGTTGCAATTCCTTCCATATCACATGAGCTCAGTATACAAGTAGAAGGATATGGGATGAATTTCACTCTGAATGAATAAAGTGGAGGGAGGAGTAAACATTATCCCCTCCCCCCCCCCATCCTAAATTTCTATTCCAAAGCTATTGGTCTGACTTATTTCTTCTCTGGCTTCATGCTGTCTTAGGAAATTAACTTATCCTAACTGGCGGTTTTTGTCAAATCTTACCTTTTTTTAATGTTTTGTTTAATATTGGTCAACATTCTGCTCAGGGTAGAACAGAAACCTAATGTCAGTTTGAAACTATCATTTATTATGCCTGAAACATGTAAATAGTCTGACAATTGGCGATCTGATTGCTCCGTTTCTGACTGCTGAAGAGGAAGCTTTAATTGCTTATGTCATGACCTGCTTTTGTGCCCCCTCAAAGATACTTTCTTGCCTCTGATTGGTCTGTGAAGTTTAAAGGCACAATACTCCACCTTGATGGCACAGCACATCCTCTTACTTTCCAGGCATGATAGGACCAGTGCTCATTCTTGGTTGGAAAGTTTCCATTCAGGTACTGTATGGTCCTTTGAACCAAAGCCTTAAGTGCAGTGAATATAATCCATCTACTTGGCATCTCCATGTATTGAATCACTTCCCATACTCAAATAATGGATTGTTGTGGAAAGGCCATAATTTAATCCAGTGATGTTAAAGACCCTTTTGCCGCGAGCTGCCTTGGTTACTTTCCAAGAGCTTGAGTGCCTTGCCTAATTCTAACAAAACAAACAAAGTGCACACACTCAGACTATTCATTCGGACTTGGGCCTGCCTCCACTGAGGAATAAATACTGCTTGGTTTGTTGTGTATGGTCACAGCCATGAAGTACTGCACACTTACAGGGTGAGGCTAGTAGTGGGGTCTCATTTAGGTACCAGAGTTTAAACGAGGGCTTGGAAAAATCTCTCTATTAGCCCAAAGTAGATATGAAAGATTGATATGGGGCAAAAGTGAAACCCCCATTTGAGAAGCCCAACCCCACTGCCACCCCTTAAGTATGGGGATTTCTACCAAGGTGCTGTGCCTGGAATCTCTTGGGCCTCCTCCATATTTTATATGGTCCTGTTAAGAGTCAGATTAAATCTGAAGCTCCACTCATCCTCTCCAACTGCTGGGAGGGAAAGAAGCTTTGCCTTCCATTCTCCCAGTGCCTCCGTCATGAGGGGTTGAGAAGGCAAGTTTCTGCCACTGTAGGCTGTCCTAGCCTTTTTTTTGGTTCTTCACCTGTGAAACTACAGTACTTACTTCTGCTGCTGTGAGCTTTCTCAAGAAGCAGCCTGAAAGTGAAAGGAAGACAAGTTTCCTTGCTGCTCTCAGGATTCTGAACAGCAGCAATGAAACCGACAAGTCTAGTTAGTTTCACATTGCTGCTTGGCAGTCTCATAGCTGCAGTAGAAACGCTGCAGCCTCAAAGAAAATACTGCATTTATTCACTGTTGGAAGGTTATTGGACCATTGCAAAGGACTAAAAATTTCAGTTTTTTAAATGAAATCTTAAGTACTGTTGGAAGTGATGACACAAACTTTAATGCTGCCCAGGGAAAGTTTCTGACTTGTGTGTGGATTTTTCAAGCCCTGGGTGAAGCTATTATATTCTGTAACCAGAGGCAGCATTTCTTACTGTTTCTGGAACTTGCCCCTATGCTCCATATGGTTGTATGTGATGATACAGTGGAATGATGAGCCTTTTGGTAACAAAGCCACTGCTGTAGGTCTTAATCCAGCATGCTGGGCTGAGTTAGTGGGAGGAGCTGTCTACTCCTCTTACCAGCTGGTCAGTTCATGTCTTGTGAAAACATTCCTAGTTCTTTCCTTTCTCTTAGCCAGTTACTCTGAAACTTTTTCCAGGAAATGGTGTATGGCCTTGCAATAGCTGTGACTATCCCAGTTGCCTCTTTGTAGGATGTACTTGATAACTAGGTTTTTTCACTATACACCCTTTCCTCTTATCCAAGGTTTAAAAACCATTAAGGAAATCTGTGCTGAACTGGGTCAGATTTGTCTGCCACAGAAATCTGCAACAGATTATGAAGCATGACACTCCCCCTGCCCCCCACCATTTGATGGAGCTACTTCTGACAAGATGAAAGCTGAATTATGCCTCTAAGTCTTGCTATATATCTAACTTATCCCCACACTATATCATCTAAAAGCCTTTACTATTTGATTTCTTCTATACTTCACTAATGTTCCTTTTTTAGCCACTTTCAGGTGTTATCCTCTGAAGAGGAACAAATCTAATCTGCAGAACTACTTTCCTTGTTAAGTTTCATATTTTAGAATCTTTCATGAGGTGCAAGAGGGTTAAAAAGAACTCTTGCCTCCTCTCAAAGTGGAAAGTTGGAAGTCACCCAAAGGGCAGAGAGCAGGCCACTGGCCACCACTTGTTCAAAGATTGTAGCTTAGAGTACTTTCTAGGTGGCTCACACCTCACCTAGCTGCTTTGTTAATGCATCATGTGGCAAAGACCATTTCTAATCAGGGGCATGGTCTGTGTGTGGTTCCTGCTTTCCAGGAGCTGGGAGTGCTAGCAAGGCCGTGTAATCAAGAAGCAATTCCTGTAGCAGAGCAAGGATAAAAGGTTGCCAAGAGAGACAGCCACCTGGCCTTGGCTTAGCTTGGGAGCCAGAGGTGGGGATTCCATGGGGGGAGGGGGAGAGTTGACTTTACTCCTTTCCCGGCTCTCCTCTGTAGAGACATTCAGCGCGCCTCTCATGGGGCACTATGAACCCTGCTAATTGCTGGAATGCTTCAGCTTTAACCCGTGTGACTCTGCTTACTACTCCTTGCTCGATGTGGGAAACGTACTCCCAGTGCCTGGAGGGTCTGCTCTGAATCATGTGAAAAAGCATCAAGGACTGGCCCTAGTATCTATCTGAACCACTTGAGGCCTGATGGAAGCAGAGATTCACCAGTGTAAATATTAACCACCACGGAGCATTGAGTTGAGCAATGGTAAGAAGCTGAACAAGTGCTGTCCTTTGCCCCCCTCAGTAACACGAGCCGGGGATGACCCCCCCCCCCCCCCCCCCCAAATCATGGTAAGGTGATACATTTTACTTTAAGGCATATAATTAATTACTAAGATGTAATATTTTTTCAGTCTTGCTAGTATTTATTGGTACACAGTATTTGCAGTAGGTAAGAGTCTACTTGTTAATGTGCAAAGATGAATTTATTTCACCTCTCAGGGTGAGAGAAAAATATCCTTTTTGTATCCTCTTTGGTTATATTCAAAAGCCAGCCCATGGCATTCTATCACATACTTTAATAAACTTGTAATTTATTTTAAAATAAACATAGGGGTCATCATTGGAAATGTGACTACTTATTCACTGCTAATGTTTCCTGTACTGTTCACGGGGGGATTACCTTAGATAAGGTACGTGCTCTCCAAACTTTAGTCTCTACTCCACAGCTGACCAACCACCTATATATATATATATTTTCCTACAACTCACTGATCATTATACCTAGTACCCTCCCTCTACTTCTTCACAAATCACCCAAGAGAACTTTCTCCTTTTAAGCATTTCCTTGAAGACAGACTGTTTCTAGCTGTACATAAGCTACCTGTGTCCTCTGGTTTTGTGTAACACTGGAGCTTGGTGTGGGCTGTGAATAATCATACCTCACACTCACAGCAGGGGCACATTCTTTCCTCTACCATTCTGGAAAGCATGCACATGAAGTATGACCCAGTTCCTGAGGAATGGTCTAACACTTGCAGGCAAGCTTTTATTCTCTCCTTCTCCCATTACAATTACATCTTTGATACAATGCAGGTAAGCATGTGACTAGTGCAAAGTGCTATTGCCTTCAGTCAATGGATGTGGCCTACTCGTTTTTCTTTTGACAGACTTGACTGACTCACAGGACACTTTAGACAGGTGAATTTTTATCACCTTGGTAGAGCTATTTGAACTGACATTTTCATCAAATGGTCCGTGCACAAGTAGCTCCTATGGCTGCCACCCTCGTGCTTTCTGGTACACACACTAGCAGCACAACATTCCTGCTGGCGGCTGGATGGATATCTTCACGGTGATATACCCGCAGACATCTTCTCCCAGGCTCCCTCAATCCTAGCAGACGTCACCCAGTTATGGATAATCCTTGCTTCGAGGTTGCGTGCATCTGTGACAGATGGAGGATCAGCTGGATTATAGCCTCTGTAGGGAATGCCAAGCATATACAATCGTTAGTTGTCCATATCCCAGCATGAGCATACAGTTACTCAGAGGCCATAGCAGCCATGCTCAAGAGTCACAGTCTAGCTAGCTGAGGTGCAAAGGATCTAGTTTCCTTACATAAAACATTTGTCATCGGAGGGCTTCCCCTCTTTGCGGGGGATAGCTCCAGCCACGGAGAACAAGGTTGTAGACATACCGCCTGCTTACCATTCTACTATGCAGCTTTAAACCGTTCTAGTAGTGTGTAACCCTGAGAAATAAGTTACAGTACAAACCAAAGTAATAGTGGGGAGGTGGTCAGTATGCCTGCAGGAAAGGGAGTAATGGGCTCTCCCTGAGTTTGGGTAGCTCAGGATGGAAGGCACACTACTGTCCTCAGTGCTCCAGGCCATCCAGCATCTAACTAAGGAAGGAAAGCTTGAGTGGTGGTATGTTGCAGTGTGCACTGCATATAGGTTGTCGGGTTACTGGGGCAGAGCGCTGGCCCTACTGGGGAGAAAGAAAGCACTTTTCTGGAAAGGAGCTTCCACTGAGAACAACTTGGCACAAGCCCTGCTCAAGAGGGCCCTTCCTCAGTGATGAGACCAAGTGAACATGGTAAAACAGCAGCTATGAACCAAACACCATTTCCATGCTCAAGGAGAGGCAGAGCGCAGGGCACTGAGTTGGGTAAGGGGACGGCTCTTCTTCCAAAGCAACGTTTCAGCAGCTTAGTGCCCATGGTGCTTGGTGGGCTGTCTCCTGCTGAGGTTACTGGTGGTTTTCATTGCTGGGATCACCCAGGCCAACAGGGAGGCCGTAAGCAAAGGCTTATGGTTACAGGCTACATACCGGAGATCCAGATGATGAGCGCCTCCCTTAATGGTTATCGCAATTAGTGAGGAACTGAGGTTACTCTTTATCTGGAACAATAAAATGTGCAAGTCAAACTCCTTATACCAGACAAGTGTGTTGAATACAGGCTTTAAAAATTAAAGACAGAGCCAGGAAGGGCAACAGGACCCTGACCTAGTCATTAGCAGGACAGGTACAGGTGTGTCAAGATCATCATAAGCCCTTGTTTTCCTCCCACTCAGTCAAATGTGTTTTCTTAAATGAAATTGACATTACCTCCATTACAGGTGAAAAGCGTCAACGTTTATGGCCAGGCTTATTTCCCCAATAAAACAGATCTGACCAGAACCACGAGCCTTTCAGGCGTTACCATGGCTGCCTCAGGTTGTTGGGAAGAATGAATTCATTTTTACTTTGCACAAATCTGATCTTCAGCAACTAGAAGTTAGGATGTTATTGCTGGGAAGAAGTTGGCTTTCCAAGGGCAGGTGGAGCAGCTGGAGTGGGGGGTGCTACAGCCACAGCTGGTTCTAGTTCTATTTTACCAAATTCTGCACCAGCAGACGCTAGTGCAAAGAGCTGTTATGTCTAAAACGAAGTGGGCTTTGCTGCAGCACAGCCACTAGAATCAAATCCCCTCTTTGGCAGAAAGAAGCAGCCTTCCTGATAGACTAACTTACCATTTGCCACAAGTGTTCTAGGGCTGCCAAATAGTTCAGCAGAGCAAAGATACCTATTGAACAGGATGGACATGAGCAACTGCTGCCTGCTCTGTAGCCGTTCGGCATTTCCATGAAGCAGCCTAAGGGGGTCTGTTCTGTCACTAGACAGAAAGGGTGAGGTCAGCCAGGTTATGAACTAGGGTATCTCACACCTGTGCTCGGCCCACAGCGAGGTAGATACTTACGCCACCGCCTGCCCATGGATCCAAGTCTCCATTCGAAAATATGATGTTGCTTGCAGCTTTCATGTCTGAAATTCATACAGATGATATCTGAGGGGCCCCTTTACTCTCCTGTCCATTTACCAAAACCTGTTTAGCTGCTTCAGAGTGTGCAAACGACAGTGGAAAATTAAAAAAATTCTTGGCAGTCACTTTGGTTTTCCACTTGTTTTTAAGTGAAGTACAGTATGGGCTGATTACAGAAAGCCAGGCTTCTCCTGGACTCTGCCACCACCTCCCCACTAACAACATGTACCTGAAGAGCAGATGCTCAGAGGGGGAGGTGGAAAGGAAGCTATGCCAAGAAGAGATTGCTGCTCATTCTTCCAGAAAGAAGCCAGTCCTGTCCAGCTCCAGCTCCACCCCAAGCATGACCTGCCTCCACGCTTTACTGGGGCCAGTCTGCTGTGTTGGTGCAAGAATCAACAGGGACGGAGGAGGCAGAGTTGGGAGAGGGGGTTGGGGCAGGAGAGAGGGTAGGGCAGAGTTATGGTCCTAGAGGGGAGTTGCAGTGGGGGAGCATTAGGGAAACGGGAGGAGAGACTAGAGACTGGTTGATTTGGCTGCAGTCCTTAAATAAGAGAACAGCTGCAACTGTACGAATCACTTGCCACCCATGATGTATGTGTGTGTGTATATTCATTATAACTGAGCCCTTCCCCTTAATGCTATCCCGGTCTCCAGCCCAGAATGCAGGGACCGTGGTGGGGAAATACACAGATGATGCAAAGGAATAAACAGCAACATGCAGCTTACCGCTGCCCCAGAACATTGTTTGCAACCAGTCCCTTTGCGGGTGCACGAGCCATTTGTTGAAGCAGTACTGCTGTCTCATAGCCTCGGTGAACGGGATTTCAGGGAACATGTCGGTCACGTTGTTGCTGCTGAAGGTTAAGTTGATCTCGGTACAAGCCTGTGATGGAAATGGGAACGGTCAAGATGGAAAGGGGGAGGATCTGTATTAAAGTCCACTGATTCCTCCAAGCAGTGTACCTGATAGTCCCACGCCTCGGCATCTGGGCCGATGCCACAGCCAGTCGGGTCAGAACATTTTCTGTACTGTTTGTATATGTCGTAACACGGCGCCATCCCAGTCGAGTTGTAGAACACTCCTGTCAGGCAGAAAGACAGTTACGCTGGGCTGCCAATAGCTCAATGGCTGCGCTACCCAGAGCGACCCCAAAGAACTCAAGCTGAGAGACCAGCCAGAGAAGGCGTAAGGAGATCAGGGTGTGTGGACAGGGTAATAGATCTAAAAGGCTGCGTGCCAGTCTGAGCCAGGCTGTAGTAAAGATCACAGCTCTCCACCTGCCTAGTCATTAGATCAGCAAAACCATCACCATCTCTTCGCTGGCTGTGGGAGAGCCCCCTTCTCTGCAACACCCAGCGTCCGCAACAGGCCCCCTGGGTCTTTGTGCCTCGTTAGCTCTCCCATCTCGTTCCAGATCTGGTCTCGGCCCTACGTGAGTCTCAGACTAACGCACTTCAGCTGTTGTATAGTCTCTCACACAAACTATCCTGAACTGAATTCTCAAACTGCACAAGGCTAGTGGCTGTCCACCCCCCAGGGTGTATTTACTGCAGCTTCAAGACAGCAACTTAAGCAAACTGGCCAATGCCAGCCCTGCAAAAAAAGAATTTTGTTTGATCACGGATTGAAAAAGGGAGGGCGACATGCCCAGACTTGCCCAGACGAAAACGAGTACCTGGCCAATACAAGTCAATCAGGCGTAGCATGGGAGCTGGAGGAGACTGGGCGCCTTTGTGTGAATGAATAATTGGCAGATAGAGAAGAGAAGGAAGGATTGTTTGCTGCCTGCCACTCAAGTGACCTGCTCATAGAGTAGTCCAAAAGGAACACTACAGACGAACGCCAGTGATAGTACCACTAGCTGTGGATCGGTCTCCTCTGCTGAGCACACAGCACTTGGTGCTCCTGCCGACGATAAGACAGGATTCGGAAGAGTCTGACAGACCCAGCTCCCCAAGGAGTGAGACTGAAGGCTCCACTGAAAACCCCTACATGGGGGGAAGGAGTCACTCCTTATAGACACCTGCAGAGAGATTCCTGCGCCCCTCCTGGTCACAAGGCAGCTTTCAGAGGGATGTCGCTCAGCACTCCGAGCCAATCTCTCACATCGGACACATACCTGGCTAAACTCCTGGACGGAGCATGCAGCCTCCGCTCACAGAACGCGCTGTGTGATGTAACGCTGGAGGCAGATGGGGTTCGCTTTCCAGCGCACAAGATCATTTTGGCTTCAGCAAGCAATTACTGCAAGATCCTGTTTGTTGGAAACGCGACACGTGCCGGGAGCCCCAACGCGAACGTGCAGCTGAAAGCCATCAGCGCTGGGGGGCTGAGGAATGTTCTCAACTTCATTTACTCCAACAAACTGGAACTCTCCCTACAGAACGTCGAAGAGACGTTCAAGGCGGCAGAAGCCCTTCTCGTCCGGGAAGTGATCAAGCTGTGCTTTCAGTTTCTGGAGGACGGCCTGAATCACAAGAACTGCCTGGACACACTCAACATCGCTAGGAGGCTTGGTCCAGAAGAGTTGAGACAGAAAGCCATGTACCACGTAGGGCAGCACTACAGACAGATACTGACTGATCCTCAGTGCATGAAGGAGCTGGACAAAGAGACCCTGTGTGAAATCTTAGACAAGACAGACGTGGCAGGGTGCACCGAGCTGGAGCTATTCAACGCTGCTGTAAGCTGGCTGCTGCATGACAGCGCGAGGCTGAAAGGAGCGGCAGATATTTTAAGGCGAATCCGATTTCCTCTCATTCCTCTGCGGGATCTGCAGAGATACGTGCAGGAAACACCCATTATGAGGGCAGACTCGGAGTGCCATAGGTACCTCCAGGAGGCTCTAATCTACCACTCCCAGCTGTATGCTCAGCCAGTCCTGCAGACTCAACACACAAGCATCCGCTCCAGCTCCTCTATGCTGCTGATTCTTGGTGGCAGAACCACGGACAACAGAGTCTGCAGAGACATGTGGGCTGCAGATGAGAGCTGCAGTGCATGGAGAAAGATAGGTGAACTCGCCACACCTGTCTACAACCACTGTGTAGCTGTGATCAATAACTTCCTCTTTGTCATCGGCGGCCAGTCCAGATTTGATCCCGCAGGGAAACATCCTTCAAACGAGGTAAGGCGCTTTAGGTTAGAGGGAATCAAGTGCTCGAAGGGAGTTCTGTACACACACAGGCTCAGAAGAGCTAAGGCCAATTTCCCCACTAGGTACCGAAAGTCAATGTTCAGAGGTGCTGAGCTTTCACAACTCCCACTGAAGTCAGTGGGGGTCGCAGGTGTCCAGCGTAACTGAAAAAAAACCAGACCCCTTATTTAGCTGCCTAATGTTAATTGGAAAGCGCTGGCCTTGAACACGGCAGAGACAAATGGCCCTGCAGAGACTTAAGAGCTGCCTGGCACGCGAACGGTCTCCCTCCAGTTCACAGCACTGCTCAGGATGGCTGCAGAGTAATGACCGGGTTGAATCACTCGTCACTCTCCTGGAGAGGTATAAGGAGAAGTTGTGTTTGAGATTGGAATGGAGTCATCTCCTCCAGGCTGCCCAGGGCAGGTCTGCTCCTACAAGGTATTTCCTAGTGCTCTGTCCAGCTTTAAAATCCCTCTGGGGACGGGGCTCCCACCACGTCCTTTGGGAGACAAGTTAGGCCAATCAAACTCTCCATCTCTGTTTAGTATATTCCACTTCCGTGGATCGCATCAGAAACCCTTGTACGCCAGCCCCAAACCAGGCCAACCTCAAATACCTGAAGTAGTAGAACACCGGCCCACATCCATCAATCCTCATGGCCTTTGAGCTCTGCTGCCTGACCCAGTCCCACTGAAACAGGATCATATTCAGACCATCCCCTCTGCCACAAGAATCACTCTAGCAATGGCAAGAGTTACAGTTCGACTCTCCTTAAAAGAAGCGCCTCCATTTCTCTTGCCCATGAAGGGTGAATATTCCCCCCCCCATACATGCCCGAGCTCCAATGTCTTGCCCCTGCCTAGGAAGTAAGACACCATTGTTTCAGGGGTTAGCTAGAGAGTGTTAGCCCAGGTGGGGCTCAGCGCCCCACTTGCTAAATGTCACTTTGTGCTTAGAGCCCAAACTGGTTGCCCCCCAGGGTCTATGGCAAACTCTGCCCCCCAATCAGACTTAATGGTGGGGGGGGAGGGGGTAGGGAGGCTGCAGGAAGCAGCACAGTGCTACCAGCATCCCAGAGGCTCTGCTAGTCTAGTCCCTTCAACACCACCCAAAAGGGTCAGCTCTGCCCAGGAGATGGGAAGCCTCAGACCAGGCTGGGACGAAGCGCTGGTCAGGTGGTGACAAGAGGACAGAGGGTGATAGCGGTGCTGTGTCTTCAGCAGAGAGTTGTTCACAACCAGGAGTGAATTAACATGCCAGCCTGGCTGCTGTATAACTTTACCCAAGATCAAGCCAAGTTCTGCTCAGTAAGGAGGATCACACGGGTTTCCAGCTGGAAGCCTTGTTCTGACAGCCCCCTCGGTGGTAGTTTCCCATGGCTCAGGTGGGATTCCTGAGACAGCCCATCTCTGTCATGTTACAGCATAGAGCCTTGTACCAGGTTCTTATCACTTGCCCTGTTTAAATAAGTAGCTCAAGAAACACACGCAGCTTTCGCTGTGGCCCGAGATGTAACTTTGTGGAGGGGGCGTTGCGTAGATCTTACCCACACACATTTAGAAAAGCTCTATAGCATTTAGGTCCTGTATGCAGACAAAGCTGTACAGGTTTGTTTAGACTTGGGGCACACTAAGTGCCATTTAAAGGAACCATTCAGGTTGGGCTGTATTAGCCCCCTCAGCTGAAAGGGGGGCTACCCTGGAATCCCGGGGTGTGCCTGCAGCACATGTAGACGTACTGTGCTCATTCTAATCTAGCTAGCTTATGAATTGGAGTAGTGAAGCTGTGGCAACACAGGCTTAGGCATGGGCCAGCTGCCCGAGTAATTATCCAGGGCCCTAGGCAGTCTTGTACAACCCACATTAAAGCCTGTGAAGCTGCAGCCTCACTGCTCTGGTACCCAGGCTAGGCCGATTAAAGCTAGATCAGGCACGTCTACACAATTGCAGCCACACCCCGTGAGTGCAGTGCATAGCAGTTCTTAAAGCCATGCCTGTCTCCCACCAGCCTGGCTAGCTCACTGCCTGGCGCACTGACCACTGTTCCCTCTGTTGTGATCCTAGGTGTTCCGCTTTGATCCCCGTGACATGTCATGGCTCCAGGTCTCCAGCATGCTGGAGAGGCGAACGCGCTTCCACGTGGATGTGCTGTCTGATTGCATCCTGGCTGTGGGTGGCGGGACGCTGCTGGGGAAGCTCACCAACACCATGGAAGCATACCAGCCTGCGCAGAACACGTGGGAGTGCGCTGCTCCCTTCCCCGTGCCAGTGGCTGATCATGCAGGCACCATCCACAAGGGAATCCTCTACATTTCAGGTGACGCTGCTCTTGGAACTCATGTAGCTACTTTGCTTTTACCGGTAACCTTACAGTCAAGTAAGACTGGATCAGGACAATGCTTGGATGGGCGATTGACTAGGGAAATCCATAGTGCTGTACGGGGCTGGTGAATCAATAAGTGGTGCTCCTCCTCCTGAACCAATGCCAGCCGTTACATCAGAGGGCAGCGTCTTGCAGAGAAGACTTACAATAGGATCTTGGCCAGCTGCAGTCAAACATCCCATTGCACGTTTTGTCAGACCAGAAATTTTGACCGTGGTGTCTTGGCCAAATTCCAGCTGCTTTCCTTTAAGAAAGCAAACTAGGGTGAGATTTCCAAAGCACTGCTGCATATTTAGCCACACACGTGACGTGCATTTGAATGGAAGATGTGGGGCTAACACCCCTGCACTGTTCTGGAACGCTCAGCCTAGGCAACGAAGCACAAAAAGTAACTGAAGTGTAAGTTCTTCAGGGCAAGGGCCATCTGATGTTTCTGTACAGCGCCTGGCCCAATGAGGCCCCAGGCCTTATACGGACCATGGGCACTATTGCAATATGATTTACTAATTGCATGCCCACGCCCTGGTAAAAGAACGTTACTAAGGTTGCAAAGTCAAACACTCAAAAGTTAGAAAATGCCAAAATTAAGGTTGCCTGGGCAACCCTAATTCAGTCCCTTTGTGCGTAAGCACTTCCATACATTCTTTAATTACATGATCACATACTATTTTTTCCACAGGACCCCCTGCCCCAAAGCCTGGGGACACTAGAATTTTTCAAAAAAAAAAGCTGCCAGAATTTTTTTTTTAACATGGCAAAACAATGTATTTTCCCCTAGCCCCAATCTTGGAAACGGCTACACTGTTCTGGTTGGAATTTTCCAAAAAAAGGTTCAGTCTGAGGCAGACACCTGTCATGGAAAAATTTCAGTTCAACCACTTAACGTTTGGCAAAGTTATAAACAAGTCTTATAAATGGGATGTGTTGGGCACGCACAATAATAGGCAATTCTACCAGCCCCGCCTATGACACAACTACCTAATGCAATGTACTAAACGCATCCGGAAATACAAAAATTAAGGGTTCCTTCAGCAATTGCTAACTTGGACACGTAGTATAATGTACATTCAGCGCTAGTCCTGTCATGTCAAAAGAAAGCGCATCATTAACAATGACATTCAAGGTATTGCTTGTGTGCTTCAAGATGATTTGACACTGCAGTAGGAACCTTTGGTTTTTGACTTTCATCGATTTTAAGGCTAGAAATGATCATTGGGATCGAGTTCCCGGAGCTCCTTGATTTGATTTTAACTGTGCAATTTGCATGGTGCATTTAATATATAATTATACTGTGGTATCTTAGGAGAAGGACACTGAAGCGTAAGACTCTGAGATCAGTTCTACCTTAGTGTCCAAATAAGCATAAAAGCCCATCTGAAATGGCACCTCTTAAACCCTGGATCCAGTGCACGGCTCCTGGATCAGCCAGAGTGACCGGCTGACATAGGTCGGAAGGATGGCCCAGTGGTTCGGGCACTAGCCTTGGGCTTGAGAGACTGGGATTCAATTCTTTGCTCCACCACAGACTTCCTGCAGGAGCTTAGGCAAGTCACTTAGCCTCGGTGTCGGTTTCCCATCTGTACAATGAGGATAAAGATGCTCCCCTCCCTCCCTCCCTCCCAGGGTGTCGTGAGAACGAATGCATTAAAAACACGGTGAAGTGCTGACATCCCATGGTTATGTCTCATTGAAGTTAGAAAGGAACATAGGACTGGGTCATTGAGTCTAGTCCCCCGCTATCATAGGCAGCCCCATCACATAATCCCATTCACAGTACTAGCCCGTGGGGTCTTATGCACAGCTCTGTCCAATCATACTGAACAATTCCGCATGCAGTGCTGGTATGAGAGCTTCAAACAAAACGTGCTGTATCCAAGCAGACAGCGTGGGGGTGGAGAGTGTTTACACACAATCTGGAAAACCCGGCGTTAAGTGTTGTGTCAGCCACATTTGACCTCCTGTCCTCCCTTATCTTTAACTCAGAGACTCTGTCTGCATTCTTCAGTTCAGGGAGCATGAAGGGGTGTGCCCTGTCAAACACTAGCCTCCTGCCTCAAAGAGAAGAAGCTGGTCTACTGCAGCCCTGAGATACCCCCGTGAGGGGTGTCTTAGAGCCAGGGAACGGTTAGAGAACAGGAACTGGCTCAGATTCAAGAATCAGGCAAAAATTGAAATGTTTCAACAGATTTCTTTTTAAATAGCCACTTTTGTGCATCTCTGCACGTCCTGGTGCCCGGTGGAAGCAGATCCCCCAAGAGAGGCTGTTCCTGCTTCCTGGTTGGGTTGGAAATACCCCACGTGCCACCATAAAATCTCATGGGGGGAAAACCTGTTTCCAGGAGACACTTTTCACATCCAAGAGGTTTGATTTTAAAACCTCCAGACTTTTGGATGCTCATCTGGCACACGCCACTTGTTACAAGGTCCTACCCTTTCTGGTGAGGAAGCCCCTCCCCACAGGAGAGACAGCTGGGTCTTCAGGGTACAGCACCTTGGCAAGGCTGCATATGTAGCTGGAACACTTTCCCCTCACCATGACATAGGCAGAGATGGCTGGCAAGGCTTCCTTAATGCCTGTTTGCAGAGTGCTGTAAGCCTCTGATGAGAACAGCTTTAGCAGGGCAGAGGGATTCTCTCCTCGCTTCTCTCCTCCAGGGGGCTTTTCTGCTGGCAAGACCTTGAGGGACACATACAGCTACCTCCCTCGCCTCCGGCGCTGGATCGCTAACCGTGCCATGACCTTCGCCCGGTGTGACCATGGAATGGCTGCAATCAGAGACAGGATCTTCTGTATTGGAGGCAGGACTTTAAATGCTGTAAGTTGGGATTTGTTCTTAGAAATAGCCAGGTGGTGCCCCAGATGCAGGACTGTATTATTCTAGTTTGATGACACTGTAAACTTCATTAATTTCAATGGATTTCAGTCTTGCAGGGTACTAATGCAGTGGTGAACAGGCCAATAAGCCTGTACAAATGCCTAGGTCCATACAATTGTTTTCATGAGTTGCTGCCCTGTTCTAATCAAATCCTAGTTACTACCAATATCAAGAATATTTACAGAATCAATGGAAATGTTTTAAAAGCCAAATCATCATTCCTTTGCAGTCACATCCTAATGCAGGAGTGAAACGGACGAGCCGATTCTCCTCATGCGTGCCGAGAGAAATGCAGAAAGCAAGCAGAACAGAGAGAGGAAGGATGGTCCAGTGGGTAGGGAGCTAGCCTGGATTCAAGTCCCTGCTCTGTCACAGACTTCCTTGGACAAGTCACTTAGCCCATGTCTACGCTACAGCAGCTATAGCGGCACAGCTGGGAGCTGCAGCTAGGGTGCCGCTGTGGCGTAGATGCTTCCTACATCGAAGGAAGGGGTTTGTCCATTTCTGAGAGACGGTACCTATGTCGACAGAAGAATTCTTTTGTCACCTAGCTGTGTTAACAGTGGAGGTCAGGTCGACCTAACTACATCACACAGGGCACAAAGTTTCTACAGCCCTGAGCGATGGAGCTAGCTCAATCTAATTTTTAGGTGTAGACCAGGCCTAAGTTTCTCTGTGCCTCAGTTCCCCATCTGTACAATGGGGAGAATAGCACTGCCCTGCCCATTGTCGTGAGGATAAATACATTAGCAATCGTGCTGCACTCAGATACTACAGTAATGAGGGCCATAAAAGAGAGAGAACTATCAAGTAAATCAGGTTTCTAAAGCTCTGTCCATTTTACTCATTGCAGGGGGTTGACATAGGTGAGGGCTTTTCTTTTAGAATACGCTGTCCTGTGGCAGCCTGCCTGTCAAAAGGATTCTCTGAGTGTCTCCACACTCCTCCAGGAGGGAAGAGAATTCAATGTGTAACAAGCAACCCTGCTCCGGGCCATGCACCATCCTGCACCGACAGCTCCTGTGGTGTTCCTAAGCACTCTGCCTCCAGCTCCATAGGCAGGGGCTCAATGCATAAGGATACACATGGTTTGTGTTATTACTGACACCGACAACTCATCAGTGGTGGGGCAGTTTTTCAGGCCTGCCTTTAACAGGATCCCTCTGGTTTTGTGCCTTCAGTTTAGGCCACCTGCATATCCCAGCATGGTGCCCTGATCTGCAGATTCATACAGGTACCCAGGTATCTAAGTGGGTTAAATTGGTGGGTGCAAAAAACACTGGCCCTTGGAGCCTTTGATGTAGAGGATGGGTTGATATAGATGGAGCTGCGGATGACCCCTCCTCTCCCCCAAGCTTCATCTTGGCTGCTGTCCATGACATGACACAACACAACCCACCATTCAGGGGCTCCCCCTAGTGCCTTAAATCTAATGGGGACAGACCAGAACTAGGAATGCAGGGAAAAGCAAGTGTACCTAGGAGCTGAAAGAGCCCTTCTCCATTTTCCAGAGAGGAACGACCCCTCTTCAGAGCCATTTTCTGATACCACTTTGGTGTTTCACATGGGGTTCTTAGGATGCTTTTAAATTAACTGCTACATTTCAACTGTGAATGAGGCCCCCTGGTGGGCAAATGGTTTAAGAACACAATTTGCCTTTAACCATGTCTTAAGACACTGGCATCACTCATTGGGTGGGGGATCGTTAGATTGAAAGAGTCCAGTGCTACAGTACCATCCACCCAAGCGGTCATGTGGCAAATCAGTGATCTGGTTCATTGCAGGCAGAGGAATGGATTCAAGTGAACGAGACAGAACATTACTGCCCGATGACTGACCAGTGGACCACGCTAACACTATCCCCCTTTGGCTGCTGCCAGTTCAGCATCGCTGTGCTCCACTCTAGACTCTATATCACAGGAGGCGGATCGCTGCGACGCATGAGTAAAGAAGATGGCGTGTTCATCTATGATCCCGACGGGAGGATATGGAAGAAAGCTGGCTCCCTGCCACATGCTTTGGTCGATCATGCCTCCTGCATGATTAAACTGTCCTGTGAGATGACAGCTGACCAGCAGGAGAGAGGAGTGAAGTGCTCGCCCGGTGGCAACAGCAGAAAGAGATCCACTCTCAGCTTGTTCATCACCACCAAACAAGAGCCCCACTCGGCTTTTTAAAGGGAGCAGGAACTGGATCCGTGAAGGAGCTGCTCTGATGGAGCACGTGGCAAATGCCCTAAGCGTTTTAAGAGCTCTCCTCAATTCGTAGCCAAACACTGCTGCTTGGGATTTAGGAGCAGCACATTCTTGGCTTAACATTAGCACGGTGCGGGCGTGCACTGCTGAGGTGGCAGTGCAAGCAGAATGAACGAGGAAGTGGAGGCATGTCCTAGCCGCACTGCGCTGGCCTGGATACTTCTCTAATTTTAAAAATAAAGAATATTTTCCCTTCTAAATCTCTAACATATGCAAACCTTCTTTGAAATGAACGAAGATGAAGTTTAGTTATTTTTAAAAAAATAGAGTAGTTCTAAATAACAGTAGTTCTAAAGAAGTGTTTTACTCTGCAAATTGCACTCAAAGTTCTTTTAAAATGTCAAACATCTCCTTACAAAGTCCCCTTAGGCACAGACGTTAGATACCCCCCCCCCCCCCCCCCCCCCCAGTGAGAAGCCCAATATAAACACAGAGATGCGTAGATTTTAAGGCCAGAAGGGACCTTTAGGATCATCTGGACCAGTGGTTCTCAACCCATGGCCTGCAGGCCACTTGAAGCCCAATCAGCACACAGCTGTGGCCCATGTGACGTCCTTAAGGCCATACAGGTAGTATATATCTTGTGTGGATGTGGCTCATGTAATACAGAGAGCTGCATGTATGGCCCACAATGGTAAATAGGTTGAGAACCACTGACGTAGTCTGACCTCCTGCAGACACAGGCTAGAGAACCTCCAGCAGGGACTGCTGAATCGAGCCTGTAACTTTTGATTGAGCTGGAGTATGAGTAAAATTTTCCAGAGGGCCTAAATGACCTAGGAGCCCAAGCCTCACTGAAAGTCCATGGGGCTGAGACTCCAAAGAGCATAGGGGTATGTCTACACGAGCTGATGGCAGCGTACATAGGCATGCCCATTCTAGCTATTATCTAGCTAACATGGGTAACAATAGCAATGAACAAAGCAACAGAGGGTCCTGTGGCACCTTTAAGACTAACAGAAGTATTGGGAGCATAAGCTTTCGTGGGTAAGAACCTCACTTCTTCGTTCTTACCCACGAAAGCTTATGCTCCCAATACTTCTGTTAGTCTTAAAGGTGCCATAGGACCCTCTGTTGCTTTTTACAGATTCAGACTAACACGGCTACCCCTCTGATACTTAATAGCAATGAAGAGGTGGCAGCCCAGGCTAGCAACCCAAGTACCTACTCGGGGTCACCAGCAGGCTTGTACTGTGGTTGCTAGCCCATGCCAACGCATCTTCCCTATAACTGTTCCCCTTGCTAGCTAGGTTAAAGCTAGCCCTGTGCTAGGCTCACACCTTCCCTGGCAGTGTAGACAAAATGGGCAAGACCCAAGCTAATAGTTACATCATGTGGGAGCTGAAAGGTTAATTCATTGTCTGTGACGTGTTAAGGTCCAGGTGCCACTGCAGTGCAAAGTGTTCCATAGCCCCTGAAACAATATGGGAGAACTCAGCGTTCACAAGTGCTTCTGAAGGAGAGTTTCAAAGAAGACAAAGCTGATAAAACTAACTCACCGATAAGAGCCGCCAGTCCTTTAATATGGTCCTGATGTGCAAGGATCTGGTCACAGCCAACCTGGATAAGGGACACACACACTTTGGTCAGTTTCCAGACAGATGCTTTAAATGACAAGCAATTAGAAGTTAGTTTGGAGGTCTCAGTTTCACAAAGAGATTATCCTGAAAGCTTCAAAACAATGGATGAGGAAAGACACGCCACTCGGACTTTGAGGCCAGAAGGGACCATCGTGATCTAGTCTGACCTCCTGCATATTGCAGGCCACAGAACCTCACCCACCCCTGTCAGCAATAAACAGTAACTCAGCCAGAGGTTAGGGGACTTAAAGACGTCAAGTTATAGAGATGCCACCATTTTCTCTAGTTTAAACCAACAAGTGACCTGTGCAGAGGATGGTGAAAAACGCCCAGGGTCTCTGCCAATCTCACCTGGGTGAAAGTTCCTTCCCAACCCCAAATATGGCGATCAGTTAGACCCTGAGCATGTCGGCAAGACCCCCAGCCAGACACCTGGGAAAGAATTCTCTGAATAACTCAGAGCCCTTCCCATCTCCAGCAGTTGGACATATTTACTACTAGCAGTCACAGATGGGCCACATGCCAATGTAGGCAATCTCATCACACCTTCCCCTCCATCAACTTACTTAGCTCAGTCTTGAACCCAATTAGGTTTTTTGCCCCACTGCTCCCCTTGGGAGGCTGTTCCAGAACTTTACTTCTCTGATGGTTAGAAACCTCTGTCTAATTTCAAGCCTGAACTTGTTGATGACCAGTTGTTCTGTGTCAACATTGGCCCTTTAAGTTAAATAACTCCTCTCCCTCCCTTGGATTTCTCTCTCAGATGTATTTATAGAGAGCAATTATATCTCCTCTCAATCTTCATTTGGTTAGGCTAAAGAAACCAAGCTCCCTGAGTCTCCTTTTGTAAGGAAGGTTTTCCATTCCTCTGATCATCCTAGTAGCCCTTCTCTGCACCTGTTCCAGTTTGAATTCATCTTTCTTAAACACGGGAGACCAGAATAGCACAGTGTTCCAGATGAGGTCTCACCAGTGCCTTGTATAATGGCAATAACACTTCCCTCTCTCTACTGGAAATACCTCGCCTGACGCATCCTAGGATTACATTAGCCTTTTTCACAGCTACATCACATTGGCAGCTAATAGTCATCCTGTGATCAACCAATACGCCCAGGTCTTTCTCCTCCTCTGTTGCTTCCAACTGATACGTCCCCAGCTGACAGCAACAATTCTTTTATTCCCTCAGTGCACGACTTTGTATTATTAAATTTCATCCCATTTCTATTTCTCCAGTTTTCAAGGTCCTCCAGATCTTCTTTCACTCAGGCATTTTAGCCGAGTTTAGCTGCTTTGTAAGGGGATAATGGAACAGTTTTGTCCTCTAATTACAGAGTGTGTTGGAGGACCTGGCCAGGAAATGAGCAGTTCACCCTGGAGCCACGATGTTAAAGGGCTGCAGTAGGTTCTGACAGCAGAAAAAGGTGGGGGGGAATCAAAGTCAGTTACAGCCCTTTAGTATGTCAGTGTTTAGCAGAGTTTGGGTGACAGAAGGTGCTAGGCTAATAGCCTAGAGGAGGAGACCAAGATTTTCAAGAATGACATTGCTGCTAGGGGCCCAACTTGAGACACCTTCAAAGGAGCCGATGGTCAGAGGGCCAACCACTCGGCCTCTGAAAACCAGACTCCTCTAAGGGGTCTCAAATTGGACCCCCCAAAATCACCAGTTGCTTGTGAAAATCTTGGCCTGGGGTTTTATCAGTCATCACCCTCGGTCCAACATGGGCCCCAGCAACGCATGCTTCTCCACACCACTTGGCATGGTGCCTCAACTGCCCGAGGAGGACCACCTATTGGAGAGGATGGGGAAGGTCATTCTTTGTGGCTCATTCACGAGCTCCTTAGCAAAACAGCCAAGTGGAGCAGTTAGGAACTTGGGGGAAGTTCTGTGCTGTAGCACCGTGGTCCAAGAGCACTACAAGCCACACACCAGCAACTGAATGAAGACCAACAATGCCATTTGACCTAGGCCACCTACTGCCCTAGATGGATTGGGAGGGGTGACTGGAGAGCTCCGTACTGGGGTTCCAATCCTTTGGGCTATTTAGTGAGATGGTGTGGATCAGACACTGGACTGGACCTCAGGATACCTGGGTTCAATTCCTGGCTCTGCTACTGGGTGACCTTGGACAAGTCACTTCCCCTCTGTACCTCAGTTTCCCCATCTGTATAATGGGGATGCTGATACTGACCTCCTTTGTAAAGTGCTTGAAGATCTAATGATGATAAGAGCTAGGTATTCTATTATATTCTTATTCTAGTGTCCACAAAACAGTGTATTATTCTAGAAGGGATATCCACAAGTCTCAGCCTTGTTCTCCAGAGTGTGTTTTCCCTGGGCGAATGGAGAGAGGAAGAATTACCACAGGACAAAGGTCAAAAGGATTAGTTGTCTAGAAATGATCAAAAATATAAACTCTAGGGAACAAATCCTGTTCTTGCTTCCACTGTGCTACCCTATATAGTCTATGATCTGGCAACGAGTGATTCTGGGTGCCTCAAGGTGGTGGGGCAGGGGGCTGACCCGAGACATCTTAAAAGGAGCTTGATTATTAGGAAGTCCGAGTCACTTGCCCTCGGAGAATCAGAACCCTTTAAAGACGTCTCAAGTTGGACAACCAAAAAACAGAGGTTCCTAAAGTGATTAGATACTTTTGAAAGTTTAAGTCAACGTGCTTGTATTGTGTGTAACTTGAGTGAAAGCAGAGTTTGGCTGAGGCTGACCGCAGCCGTCCCTCCCAGAGCAATCAGTTTCAGATATATTTAGTGGCAGGACAAAAAGAAAAGAAGACACAAGATGATATTCATTGTCTCAAGAGGGTGTAAGAGCTCTTCTTGATCCCTCCAGCGCCCTGGCACTCACCTTGACTGGGTTAGCAGGGAAGTGACCCATGAAGTCTGTTTTGTAAGGATAGTCCATCATAGCCATCATGGTGAAGGCATTTCGAGCGAACTCAAACAGCTGGTAGACATCTTCCTTGCAAGAAACCCTCTTGCACGTGGCCATTTCACTGCTGATTCTATCGTAGGCTGCAGAGGGAAAGAAAAGTGATACATATGCTCCAAAGAGTGTAAACTGATACCACAGAGCCGCGCCACGTTTCCTTCATTCCACGTGGCTGGCTAGTCAGGAGTAATATGAAGCTATGAAAACAAGAACAGCGTTTGTAATACTACATATTAACTCACACAAGTTTGGGTGTCCAGATGCAAATGTCCGCCATTGTGTAAAAACCCTGCATTCTTCCGCTGACCTCGCTGCTTCTTGGGGGTGGCAGGGGGGGGGGGTGGCTTACCCACGCCGCCAGGAGAATCCCTTCTGTTAGCATAGGCAGTGTCAACACTGAAGCACTACAGCAATGTTGCTGTGCCACTGTAGCGTTTTAAGTGTAGACAAGCCGTTACTCCTTTCCACTCCTGGAGCCTAGTCTCTCCCCAGCAGGATACAACTGCCACTGGCAGCTAATGAGGATTACTGGTTCCCTGCAGCAGCAGGGTCGGCCTCTTTCGTTTGCTCCCAGAGTTGTTTTCACTCCCATTAGCTCTGCAGGTGCAGCATAGCCCTGGGGGAATGCGGCTTTGTGCTGCCTCAGCTGAGTTCTCATTGCAGATTCCAAGGCAGGCAGAGGC